AGCCTTGGACGCCTTCTCTGGAAGCGTACTTGGTAGATGGCGCTGGAGACTGGTTTTCAATTGTTCAATCTGGCGAGCGGTAGCAATGTTGGGATCGAATTGAGGCGGGTAGCGGCCCGCGATACGCGGCCGCACTTCTCTAGATCGATGCCTCATACGACTCAGCGGCGGCGCACGGGCAGCCGCTTCTTCTGCGTCAGACGACGTGCTGGAGTGGGAGAGGTCAACCGAGTATCGTTCAAAGTTACGGCGATTCGACGTGCGCGGGGATACGCTACGGTCTGAGCGGCGGCTTGGAACCTCGTGTGACGGCCACGGACGTTCAGGCAATCCAGAATACAGTGCCTCACCTGGGTGGATTGCTTGTTGAAGTGGTGGTCGCGGATGCTGAAACCGGGCTTCCGGGGGTGCTACTGAACCCCGTGGTTCGGGGAAGCGTGTGTTGTCAGTAGGCATACTACCTGCCACAGCCCCGGCACTCATTCTGTGGTCGTGTCTTCTGTAATCATTGCGATGTCGGGGATTCGAAGGAGGCGCGGCATGTGGTGACCCTAGAAGCGGAAAGTTGTGACTCGGTGCTCCTAAATGATGGCGCAGCTGGTCACCCTGTGAAGTGACGCCGGGGTCGTAGAACGCCTGGCCGGGATAAAGGTGCGGAGGCCCGTTCCAGGTTTGCGATGGTCTTTGAGGGTTTGTGAACTGGTATGAGTGTGCATGAGGAGCATAGTAGTGGTGACGCATCCCAATAGGTGGCAAAGCTGGACATTGTGGGTGGCTGCTGGTAGACACATTTGGTGCATCCTGAGCCTGAGACATGGAGGGGCTGCTATTGGACATGTATGGATTTCGATACAACGTTGGCAGTTGTTGTTGGAACGGTGTATGCGCGGCGAGAAGCGGGGCAGTCAGCTCTGCATCTGAGTTTCGAGCGCCTATCCTATCGTGAACCCAGGGACCCGCGCCGTATTCAGACTCAGCCATACGAGCAGTTCCACAGACGTCTTGCACCTTTTTTCACGAGCTGTGTCGTTTCGTAAGCCGTGTCGATCGGTGGCGAGCAAAGGTCTGGAGGAACGCGGATGTTGACGCTATCGTGTATCGATTGCGAACAACTGTCAGAACAACTCGGCCTTGATTGAGGCAGTCGTTGGGCAGAGGGGTTCGTGGTAGAAGGCTCGATCAGCGTCATGGGAGCCTTATCTGCGGCTAAGCAAGTACGTGCGGCCCAGCTGAAGCCGTGCTTCACGGACGGAGTAATGCAAAGGTGGAGTGAGCTTGAAGACACAATAGCAGGCTGCAAAAGACAGCAGACCGCAGATGCAAACAGGAGTGTTTGTGGAGGCTGGAAACTGGGCCGTAGTTGAAGATGAGGGGTTATTAGCTCCATGTTACGTTGGCACGCTCGAAGGCGAGCGCCCAGCATGGATCGAAAGGATGGTGGAGACAGATCAGGTGCACTCCGACTTGACTCGCTACGTTAATCTAATATGACCAGTCGTCGGAAGACGGAAAGCGCAGGGCACATGGTTCCAAGGCGTCACGCCCCGACCTAGCTTCCAGACGTACTTGGTCGTTTGCCCTCATAGCTCTAGATCGTCAGTATCGAATGCAGGAGCCCTCATCATCACCCAATAAATCGGACCCTCAGCCGTACCCAGCGGCGCGATGCAGGCGGAAGTTTGGGTAGGGACAGGCTCTCGGTACGAGGTGTGTTTCACTCAACAGGGTGTGCCCGATAATGCCGAAGCTTTTGATCGGTGGCTATGCAGAGATTCCACTAGCCCGACCGGAGCGGCCAAAGCATATATATGCAGAGGGTGAGCCAGAGTCTCGAGCCGATGGCATAGACGCGGCCCTACAAGCGTGCTGCGCGAGGTAATGGAAAAAGTTGGAACAGTGGCTGGCCGGGGCTGTGGGACATGAGCGAGACGCCGCATCAGCGCAGACAAGGCGACGGAACGCTTGACGTTGCAATGCGGAAGGCATCACGGGCTAACCTTGGAATGCTGAGGCTTTGGCGCCGGAGTGCGGAAGGCGAGCGGCAGGAGAACATGGTGCTGAGCGGCGGTACTCTGAGCTGGCGGTACAAGTAAGCAGAAAATTCACGCCGACCACATTCTTTCATGCTCAAGTTTGCGTGCTTGGAGCCTTCATCCACCCTCGGCTTGGCACCCCGCCAGTCATGTGACGGCGAGTTATTCCGCGGGAGAGACCGGAGGCAATTCCCGCGAGCATGAGGTCAGAGCTCGGAACGGCAGCATTTTGCGTCGCAGCAATTGTCCATCTTCTGTCTTTTGACCTGCGACTTGCGCTCTAGTTCCGCTGCGCACACGATTAGCCAATTCGGCGTCTTCTCCACCCCCTCTCCCCATCCTGCCCCCCGCCAGCAGCTGCTGCTACCATGTTCCGAAGCGCAACGAAGCTCCGCGCCGCCGAGGCCGGAGCATTACGATCACTCGCACATGCAAAGGCCAGCCCCTCCTTCTGCTGTGCCCGCAGCACGCGTGCCCTCTCCACTACTCCCCGCACCCCGCTGAAGACGCAGAGCCTCTTCCAGCGCCGCCAGTTCAGCGTCACCAGCACCATGGCCAACACGCGCACCGAAAGCGATGCCTTTGGCGAGATCCAGGTCCCCTCGGACAAGTACTGGGGCGCCCAGACGGAGCGCTCGCTCGAGAACTTCAAGATCAACCAGCCCCAGGACCGCATGCCGCCGCCCATTGTGCGCGCCTTCGGCATCCTCAAGGGCGCTGCGGCCACAGTCAACATGAAGTTTGGGCTGGACCCCAAGCTCGGCCAGGCTATCCAGCAGGCCGCTGAGGAGGTGGCCTCGCTGAAGCTCATCGACCACTTCCCCCTCGTTGTCTGGCAGACGGGCTCTGGCACCCAGTCCAACATGAACGCGAACGAAGTCATCTCCAACCGCGCCATTGAGATCCTCGGCGGCACCATGGGCAGCAAGAAGCCAGTCCACCCCAACGACCACGTCAACATGTCCGCCTCGTCCAACGACACCTTCCCCACCGTCATGCACATCGCCGCCGTTCTCGACTTCGAGGAGTCGCTCCTGCCTGCCCTCGCCAGCCTGAGGGACGCGCTGAAGAAGAAGGCCGACCAGTGGGAGAGCTTGATCAAGATTGGCAGGACACACTTGCAGGATGCCACACCCCTGACCCTCGGCCAGGAGTTCTCTGGCTACGTACAGCAGCTCGACTTCGGCATTGAGCGGATAAAGACCTGTCTCCCGCGCCTCAAGATGCTGGCCCAGGGCGGGACCGCCGTCGGAACCGGTATCAACACATTCAAGGGCTTCGCAGAGGACATTGCTTCGGAAGTCAGCAAGATGACTGGCAAGGACTTCGTCACCGCACCCAACAAGTTCGAAGCGCTCGCTGCCCACGACGCCATCGTCGAGGCCCACGGCCAGCTCAACACCCTCGCAACCTCCCTGTTCAAGATCGCCCAGGACATCCGTTTCCTCGGCTCTGGCCCGCGATGCGGTCTCGGTGAGCTGAAGCTGCCCGAGAACGAGCCCGGTTCCTCTATCATGCCCGGAAAGGTGAACCCCACACAGTGCGAGTCCCTCACCATGGTCTGCGCCCAGGTCTTCGGTAACCAGGCCGCTACCACCTTCGCTGGATCCCAGGGCAACTTTGAGCTCAACGTCTTTAAGCCCGTCATGATCCGGAACCTGCTGCACAGCTCGCGTCTGCTCGCCGACGGCATGAGGAGTTTCGAGAAGAACCTCGTTGCTGGTCTTGAGGCGGATGAGAAGCGCATCAGCTCCATCATGAGCGAGAGGTGAGTCACTCTAACCTGAATGTATAATTGTCACATAGCTAACTTGACACAGTCTCATGCTCGTCACCTGCCTCAACCCCGTCATCGGCTACGACGCCGCTAGCAAGACCGCCAAATACGCACACAAGAACAACCTCACGCTCAAGGAGGCTGCGCTCAAGCTCGAGGTCATCAGCGAGTCAGACTTTGACAAGTACGTCAGGCCCGAGCTTATGGTCAACCCCTCAGAATACAAGCCCAAGAACTAGGCGCCGTGATGGGAAGTAAATAGTAAAAATGTAAAATACAATACAATACAGCATGCATTAGCGCGGCGATGAGTCAGACCGTCCATACTACTATTTCACGATCATTCTCATGACACTGACATCGTTATCGTGATGCTGGTGCACTGCAAACTCAAGCCTAGTCACAAGACACTACTTTATGAGCTTGATGAGTTTGGTCACGTCACTCTCATACGCATCAAGACGTAGAACCAGGTTATAAGTATACCATAGCATATCAGCTAAACACCTTCTACAGCGCCCAACATATCACCTATTCACCCCTAGGTTTCCACTGATGCATTTCACTCAGATTCTAGGATCTCAGTAATCTGTACATTTATATACTTGGTATCATCCTCGCCTATTGCAACTGCCGTCCATTCAGTGATCGCACATCGTCATGCCCTTCGGGCGACCAGTCTAGTTGCATTTCCGATTCTGACCTTTGCTGCATGGCGTCCATGGCAATTGATAAGGCCCGTTGATTTCAATGTTGTTGTTGCGCCTGTTGATGCGCCTATAGATGCGCCTGTTGTTGCACTTGTTGCTGCCATTGCTGCTGCGTTGAATACTGACCCTGCTGCTGCATCGATCCCTCAACTCGTCGTCGCTTCTCAGGCACTTGTCGAAAGAACGTGGGTTGTCCAGGTGCAGTGAGGTCAATGGTATCGGCGACTGGCTGGGTTCCTTGCCTACCTTCAGACACCGCATTTCCTGCTAGGTATAGTGCGTGCTGCATGTGAATGGCCTGTTGAAACGCTACCGGAGTGGGTGGTGTATTCGGTGGCCGGGCGCTATGCGTTGGCCGTGGGTGTGCTAGATTCGTCGCTGGTGGTGATGGGTACGCCGACTGTGGTGCTAGTGCTCGAGCGGGCTGTGCGCCCTCTGGGTCTTGGAGTAGGTGCTGGTCCGATTTATCAGTTTACAATCTCAAGCAGACATCATGAAAATGATCTGATAGGTACTCACGGGGAATACGTTGTCCTTAACAACCTTCTTGAGAGAGGTCTCTATGTTTTTTAGGTGCTGACCCCATCGCCCATCAAGGAGTTCAACATCATAAGCCATCTCCTGCTTCACTTCGTCCCGGTGGTTTCGAATGATTGTGTGGAGGGAGTCGACAATGGAATTCCTCGCAGCGCCAAAGTGCTCGTGGGTAACACACTTGGCGGTCATGTCTGAATGGTCATTGCGCATCTTGTTGTAGTTCTCTTCCAATACGCTGACCCTTTTGTTAAGTTTCAGAGATGTAGCTGTGACGCGGTGCTCTTCCAATGCCTCGAGCCGTTCTTTGCAACTTCCGAATGAGGCCAGTTCGTTCTTCATTTGTAAGTGGACTGTATCAACCTTATTCCGAAGATCGTCGAGAGCGGGAGTAGCTGTCGTGGTAGTTGGAGGGGTCAAGGTCGGGGTTTGAATAGATTGGGGAGCGACTTCCGACACGCCCAGACGGGCATCTAGGGACTCGAGTCTGGTAGTCGTGGCCTGAGAAGCTTGCAGTGCCGCATTATGTGATTCCACGGCAGTCTCAAGCTTTTCGACGCGGTGTTTCATGCCTTCCAGGAGCTGTGGCTCTACCATCGCATTTCCGAGCTCTTCTATACGCTGAGAGTTACGGTCCAGAAGCAGAGCGGTCTTTTCGAACGCTTCCTTATGCTCGTGGGATTGTGCTTGCACGGTATCGACAGCGGTGGAGAGGTGATCTGTCAGAGTAGCGAGTTTTTCCGCTGTCTCATTTCTGAGGAGTCCTAGACCATTGATGTAGGCGGTTTGGTTGTGAAGCAAGCCTTCTTGGGTATGAACCACTGCTGTCTCGAAGCGATCTTCTAGGTGGTTTCGCAGTTCGACAATGCTCTGACTGTAGGTATTATCGGACCGTTCCAGCGAATCAATCCGTTGCTTGAGATCTGGCACGATTCGATCTGTCCTTTGCAACTTTGCAGTAGCGATAGTCTCGTGGGCACGAAACTTGTTGGAGAGATCATTCAACTGTTGACTGGTCCGGGTGATTGACTGTTGTGAATCCTTGATCGTAGTCTCTAGTCGCTGGTTTCGATCCCTCTCAGCATCCAGTTCGTTTCGCAGCTGCTGATTCTGCGCCTTCTGAGCATCAATATCGCCTTGCAGTCCTTGATTGTCCGCTTCGGACTTTGTCTTAACGTCCTCGACAAGCTGTTTGAGATGCGTCATTTGCGCTTCCATGCCGTCCACCCGGCCGTTCAGTAACTTGACTTTGTCATAAACGAATTTGAAACATTTCCTCAAGTGCCCAGTGACATGTTCAGTGTCCATCCATGGATAGACGGTGGAAGCAGGTTTGCTCGGAGTTCGCTCCATGATGTCGACTTTCATCATCGCAAGGTCGACGGTCCTCGAGAGTTGCTTCCTGTAAAGATTGACGCTTCCCTGTAACGATAATTCGAGCTTCCGCTTGCTGAATGCCGGGATGTCCGAAATAACTGGTTGGAAAAACGCGAAATTCTCTCCAGTCACGCGTGGATCACAGTAAGAAGCCGTATCTTTACGGAAGAAGACGTAATGCATAGGGTCATGGTCGACCCTCTCCACGGTAGCGATTCCCCACTCTCCCGTACATGTATCAAACGTACCATGGAATGAATCCCTGCTTCCAAGCAAGAGCGTCCAATCATACAATGCAATGCCTATCGTTGCCACCCAGGTTGGAACGCTGGAAACGACAGCTCGACTTCTGCTGTTCACCGCCACAAGCGAGCTGCAAAAGGGCGTTCGACATCTCCAAAATAGGCACCGATAGCGAGAGCACTACAGCCGCAGCGAGAATACCGTTAGGTAAAGGGTTGGAGAGCGAGCAACCTGTGACGTATTGGGCTGGAACTTTACAGCCTGGTGGCGCTATCTGGGACTGTTTGCTTCATGACGGCGTAAGTTTACTCGCCAACACAAAAGAAGGGTCTCAGGCACAAACGTGAGGCCGGGGAGGTCGTTCTCGTGTCCGTCCAGCCAATCGCGAAATGCAGATGGAAGGTATGGACGCTGTTTTCTTCCCGGTGGGGTCGTGGGTAGAGACATCACTAGGCTGTACGGCTGCAGGCACGTATGGTTCCGAGAAGATAGGGAAGTTGCTTTGACAGCCTGTCAACGTGGCCCCGTTGTAGTTAGGGCGTTCTTGGTGTTGCACGAAAGAGAAGATGGACGCGATAAAGATGGAGGCGAGGCGAGGACGAGGCGGTCCGATGCGGCGCTACTGGCACGCTAAGAAGAGCTAGCTTCGGCAGTCAGTTCGCGTGCATCTCCCCCGCCATTATCATGCCACCCACATGCTTTCAATTCTACCCGCTACACGCATGCTTGACTGTATGGCCTTGCTACAGCGATATCAATGTCCCCGCTTTCCCATGTTTGTTAGCCCTCAGCCGTGCCGCCGTGGCGTTTCTGCGCCATGTCGTACGGCTTGCCGCTGCCTCGTCGGCTTAGGACGCCTGCCAATACCGTGCGTGGAAGCCGCTGGGCCATTACATGAATACGATGTGTCTCATTCATACATGCGCCGTTGATCTTCTCCAAGACTGTCTAATGAGCTCCCGTTATCGTTATGGCGCGATCTGGGCTTCCCGCTGCTGGCTGCTGGCTGCTGGCTGCGTATTGTCAGAGCGCCTTCTCGTTCAGGAAGCAGCCTTGTGAGAGAGAAACCTCGCATCTGCGGGATTATACCCGGCTATAAGTAAGTGTGTTATACACACTCGTATGTCGATGGACTGTATCTAATGCACGCGGAATGCAGTACATGCAGACCCGGATGTTCGGCAGGTCCATCATCGCAAATCATTTAGTTCCCCAAACCATTACCTGGGTTGAACTATACGTCTTAAAACATGTGTTTCACACCACCCCATTCAAGCAAGAAAAAGAATTTCTCGGAGTCTACGTTGACGTCGGGTCGCATATTGCGCATCTTTACGTTAATGTAGGCTCCAGGGTGTTCGGTTACCTCCTTGAATAAGGTGACACGACGGACTTCTGCATTGAAAGATGCTACGCTTAGACGGCTAAGGACTGGAAGGTCCTTGTCTTAAAGCCATGTCGCAGCAGCTTTCGATGTGGTACGACATGACTAAATGTGTCTATAGAACTTGCTCACAGACAACCCTGCGAACCGGGAGTGAAGACCTCGCAGGGTCTATGAATGCTCAGGCGGAATCTTGCAAGACATGTTGGACCGATGTTGAACTCACCCGTTCATGTTCGGGTGACGTACCAGTCGCAGCTACGTCATGGCCCTCAGCCATGCAGCTGAGTAATGGCTTGCGAACAATCCGCCTTCACTGCTTGAGCGAGCGACAGTCGTGACTAGGACAAGACAGCACATAGGGGTTTCATCCTCACGTGGAACTGTCAACAGTGGTATGCGGCCCGCTTCCTGAAAGCGGTATACGTGCTGAACGCTGGTGCATGCCGACCTCGCTTCTAGAACGCGCAGCGAAGGCTTATTTTGCAACGTGCCCTAGCTTTGATTACTATGCAATACAAACAGAAACCATATACCCAGAGGAGAATCTACCCAGAGCACCGAGCAATCCTCGTCGGATCAACGTGGTGGCTGTTACTTGTGTGCAAGTTGTATCCCGTCCGTGGCTCTTTGCGTGGTTGATGAATTTCTTGTCTTCTCCAACGGACACTGCCTAGGAATGATACTTACCCCAAAGATCAAGCATGTTGGGAATCATGCGATTGAGGATTCATAGTGCTCATGGATTCACCGACCTCGGGACGCTTGCCCATGACCGGCCGTAGTCTCCGACATTGGCCGCTCGTACGAGTCCATTGCTGTGCAAACAGGCGATCTCAGGTCAACCGAGAATTCGGTCTTTGGATTCACAGGCATTACCATGCTAGGAACTTCCTAGTCCCCAAAGATTCTCCATGGGGGTGGGACATTGGGCTCAAACTCGCGCAACTAAAGGCATAGCAATGATGAACAACGATCGTAGTCGGTGGCGGGCTTACTATCCTCCTTCGAGTCTGTCTCGATGCCCATCATTACCAAGTGAGATTGGAGATAGCACTCCTTCATACTTCCGCGTCATTCCCATTCGCTTCATGTGCATCGCGTACACGAGGTATACCGACGTTGTCATCCCACTTTCCAGCCTCACTAACGTATTTGAGGGAATACTTCCGCAAAACCTGTATCGCGGAGCTCTTCTATCCACTGTTGTACGGCAAGATCACCTAAACAAGCTACAGCTGTTTCCTAGCTTTCGAATTTCGCATCAATAGCAGGTCTCCATATCATGACGTTTCAGGCTAGATAGTGCTACGCGGCTCTGCTCGGACCCCGGCCTCCTCCTACCCCAGAGACCCGCCAATCAAGACCCATCGACATGACAAGCACCCTTGAAGCTTGTCGCGGGGCCCCATGGGCTCAAGTGGAATGATGATAGCAGAGTATACCCACGCCGAGGTCGAATCTAGAGTGCAAGCAGTATATAAGCTCTCCGAGCTGACCATGTCTGCTTGGCTTTTGGCATCGGCTTTTGCTTATTCGTTCTTCGCTCTTCGTGGCGTCCAATCAACTTACACGCTAACTCGAAATGGCGGGCTTTGCCGAACCCAAGCGAGATGGTACCCCTGCGGTCGACGATGGAGTCCTGGAGAAGAGCCTCAGTCGTCAGGCTGAGATCTTCGAGGACAAGGAGCTCATGACAGATGCTCAAGCAGCTGAAAGCCGCGAACATGATATGGGAATGTGGGAGGCCATGAGGGACCACCCCATGGCTTGCTTTTGGGCTTTCATCTTCTGCTTTACTATCGTAAGTCTTTGACCCCTGCTAATATCTCCAAGAAGAGGTCGCTGACACCGAACAGGTCATGGAGTCTTTCGACATGTTCTTGAACGGCAACTTCGTGGCTCTGGCCGCGTTCAAAGAACGATATGGCGTGCAAGTCGCTGGCGAGGTTGGCAAGACCATCCCTACGAAATGGCAGAGTTCACTGTTCCAAGCTGGTCAATGCGGTGCCTTCATTGGAGTCTTCCTCGCTGGTCCCATAACCAACCGTCTTGGTTACCGCTGGACTACTTTGCTGGCACTCATGCTGATGAATGCGACCATCTTCATCTCTTTCTTTGTAAGTATCCAAAACCCTGATCTAGATTCATGGACTAACGATACCCAGGCCGATTCGCTCGCGGTTCTCGTCATTGGGCAAGCTTTCGAAGGTATCCCATGGGGCATGTTCATCGCCAACTCGCCGGCCTACGCCAGTGAGGTTGTTCCGCTCGTTCTTCGTGGTGCTTGCACGGCAACCCTCCAGATGTCTTGGTCCATTGGTAGCATTATCGTCGCAGCCGCGACGTACAGCTACAACAAGCGAAACGATGAGTGGGCCTGGCGAGGTCCACTAGCCCTGCAATGGGTCTTTCCCGTAAATCTATCCTTTGCGAGCAGAATCTCCTGAAGCTAATCGATCCAGACCCCTCTTATGGTCCTCATCTTCTTCGCACCCGAGTCGCCATGGTGGCTAGTGCGCAGAGGGCGTAAGGAACAAGCGCTGAAGTCCATCAAGCGCCTTGGTCGTAGAAACGGAACTCAAGCGGCTGCCGAAGACACGCTTGCCATGATGGAGCGCACAGTGCAGATCGAAGCTCACAAGGGCGGCGAGCCTTCTCTCCTTGATCTCGTCAAAGGAGTCGACCTCCGCCGGACACTCATTACCTGCTTGATCTACGCATCTCAGAACTTCGCTGGCAACCTTATTGCCAACCAAGCAACATTCTTCTTCGAGCGTAAGTCAAGATTCGCCGCAGCTCTTAGAGATGCAAAGCTGACTATTCGCAGAGGCTGGTATGTCGTCTGACTTCTCGTTCAAGCTGAACTTGATCAACTCGTGCCTGCAGTTGGTAGCCAACATCTGCGCTTGGCCTCTCAGCAACTTTTTCGGCCGCCGCACGATTTACCTTGGGGGCACCGCCATCAATATTTGCCTGCTCTTCATCCTTGGAATCTGCGCTTCTATCCCTCAGAGCAGCGCGACCAACTACGCCCAAGCTTGTCTTGGTATCGTCATTTCGTTCGTCTTCGCAGGAGCCATGGGTCCGATCTCATACTCGATCATCGCCGAAACATCCTCCGTTCGTCTCCGCGCGCTAAGCACTGGTGTTGGCCGAGCCGCATACTACGTCGCCGAGATTCCTATGATCTACCTAGCCTCTCAGATGCTCAATCCTACGGGCTGGAATATGGCTGGTAAGTGTGGATACGTGTGGGGCGGTACAGCTTGCGTCTGCTTCATCAGCGCATACTTCGGCCTGCCTGAGCTCAAGGGCCGCTCATACCGTGAGCTTGACATTTTGTTCAACCGGAAGATCTCCGCGCGCAAGTTCAAGTCCACCGTCATCGACGTCAGGGACAACGAGTAGATCATCAGAGTACGACGTGTTTTCGAGTTGCATCCCACTCAAGGGAAGAATTGAACGGCCCCGAGCCTACATTGACGCTACGCCTCCATGTTTGCTCATCGGTAGTCTAATGTTGGCTCCAAGCCTGTTCAGTTTTGATTTGTATGAGTTGGTTGTGTACTATTCGGTATTGTGGAGAAGATCGTGTCGGTGTGGAAGGGTCAGCACAGATGCGTAGACGCGCTTTTCTTCCAGCTAGCGCGTTGAGGGTCAGTGCTTGCGCTAGTGTAGGGAAGCTACTCCTGAGGCAACGCGACGGCATCTTCTAATCACATTCAATCCATTTTGAACACACGTGTATCCTTTGTTTACTGATTGCGGTCGTGGTGCTGTATATCCAGCAGACCAATTGTCGGCATACCACCAAACGTTTCGCGCAAAGTAGACGCGCATAAAACGGCTCGGCTGCATTACCCCGAGCCTCCTGACGCCGCCACCCACGAGTTCCTCTTCATCAGCATGTACATACCATGTGACAACAAAAGCTTGGGTATCTGATGTTCGACTTCTCGTTAATAGACGCCTCGGATTGATGCATCGTCGCGGAGCCCGAAGATGCGGTGTCGACCGGTCCCTGCCGGGAATGAGAATTGAACGAACTTGTTTGGGATCAACCGCCGTTCCCAAGTTCTTCAACCCAAGTCATGATCACGCAAAACTTCCTTTTCTCTCCCGGTTTCCTGTTCAACACCTTGACCGAGCGGAAAGAATGCAAGATGACCGTGATGCTAACCTATCTGCGCAATGCACCCGCCGCCGATGTGATGTCGACAGCGTTTACCCGGGCCTCGGCGCACCCTAGCCCAGCGTCCGAGCATGGGCATCTCAATTCCACCATTGAGACGACCTTGACATCCCCGCAATCCACAATGCATTCCATCATAGCGCGGCATTAGCGTCTTGTACGCAATTCGGGGTAGACTGGGGCTTGGTACCTGCGTAGTGCTCTTATACCCTCAGCATGTCCGATACAACGGCGACAGCGCTCATTGGCCTCGACATCTTCATCCTGCATCCATCATGAAGACTCTCGTAGGGCTCTCGTGGCTCTCGGCTCTGTCTTCGTTGGCAACTCTACCCAATGGATCTGGTGTCAATGCTCAAAACAACACACCCAGTGCATGGCCACTACACGACAATGGTTTGAACGACGTGGTACAATGGGACCATTACTCCTTCAAGGTCAACGGAAAGCGCCTATTCGTCTTTAGTGGAGAGATCCACTACTGGCGCATTCCAGTCTACGAAGTCTGGGAAGATCTATTGGAGAAGATCAAGGCGGCGGGTAAATTCATCAACTCGCCACGTACTACGAGCCGATGCTGACAACGAACAGGATTCACGGCTTTCGCCTTCTACGGCAACTGGGCATACCACAGTGCTAACAACCAGACGTTGGACTTCGAGAGCGGCGCTCACGACTTTACAAAGCTCTTTGAGATCGCGGAACGTGTTGGCTTGTATGTTATTACGAGGCCAGGTCCATATGTCAATGCTGAAGCCAACGCCGGAGGCTTTCCACTGTGGCTCACGACAGGAGCCTACGGTAAGCTGAGAGACGACGACCCAAGATATCTCCAGGCTTTGGACCCCTACTTCGCCAAGTTCTCCGAACTCACCTCCAAGCATCTCGTGACCAAGGGTGGCAACGCACTGGTCTACCAGATCGAAAATGAGTACGGCGAGCAATGGAACGACCGTGATGAGAAGATCCCCAACGATGCTGCCGGGAGATACATGCAAGCACTAGAAGACTCTGCACGAGCCAACGGCATTGATGTTCCTCTCATCCACAACGACCCGAACATGAACACCAAGAGCTGGAGTAAAGACTATGCGCCTGGTGCTGTCGGCAACGTCGATGTTGCTGGCTTGGACAGTTACCCATCGTGCTGGTCATGCAACCTGGACGAGTGCACTGGTACCAACGGAGAATACGTGGCCTACCAGGTTATCGACTACTACGACCATTTCGTGGAGGTATCTCCTACTCAGCCAAGCTTCTTCCCAGAATTTCAGGGTGGCTCTTACAACCCATGGGGTGGACCCGAAGGAGGCTGCCCTGCTGACATCGGAGCCGACTTCGCGAACCTGTTTTACCGAAACCTCATTTCTCAGCGTGTGACCGCCGTGTCGCTGTACATGATGTTCGGAGGAACGAACTGGGGTGCTCTAGCTGCTCCAGTCACAGCTACATCCTACGACTACAGCAGTCCCATCAGCGAGAACCGTGAGATCGGTGCTAAGTTCTACGAGACCAAGAACTTGGCTATGTTCACCCGCGTCGCTGATGATCTCACCGTCACCAACCGTCTCGGCAACTCAAGCTCCTACTCCACAAACCCGGCGGTTGAGGCTAGCGAGCTCCGCAACCCCCTTACCAACGCTGCCTTCTACGTCACGATTCACTCCACGTCTTCGTCTGCCACCAAGGAGTCGTTCAAGCTACATGTCAGCACTTCCGTCGGAAACTTGACTATTCCTCAGCATGCCGGTTCCATTGTTCTCGACGGTCATCAGTCTAAGATCCTTGTTACCGATTTTGCCATGGGCAACAACACCCTCACTTACTCTACTGCTGAGGTCCTCACATACGCTATGGTCGACCACAAGCCAGTCGTAGTACTGTCGACCGGTGTCGGAGAGTCTGTTGAGTTCCACGTCAAGGGTGCTACGAAGGGCTCTCTAGTCAGCAGCGGAACCAGCTCGAACGCGACTTTCCATGCCGAGGCTCACGGTCTAACAACCAACCTTCAGAAGGTTTCCGGCATGAACGTGTATCAGTTTGATAACGGTGTAAAGGTTGTTGTTGCTGACAAGCCTACTGCATATCTCTTCTGGGCCCCCAATCTCTCGAAGGATCCCTTCGCGCCAGTCGACCAATCCGTGCTCGTCCAGGGCCCGTACCTCGTCCGCAGTGTAGCTCTCGATACTGATTGTCTCGCTCTCAAGGGTGACATCATGAACAGCACCGACATCGAAGTCTTTGCCACTGGCAGTGCGAAGACACTCTCTTGGAACGGGAAGGAGCTAGCCACCTCGCGCACATCGTACGGTAGCTTGAAGGCGCACGTCGCTGCGTTCAACGGCACCATCAACCTGCCCTCCTTAGACAGCTGGAAGATGAACGAAGGACTCCCAGAGAAGATGCCAGAGTACGATGACAGCGGTGCCGCATGGGTTGTCGCTGATCACACCACCACCCCCAACCCTACCAAGCCCGACACCCTGCCTGTTCTCTACGTTGACGAGTACGGCTTCCACAACAGCTTCCATCTCTTCCGCGGTTACTTCGACGGAGCAGCCACCGGTGTGCAGCTTTCCGTTCAGGGTGGTCTTGCCTTCGGCTGGAGTGCATGGCTGAACGGCGAGTTGGTTGGATCGTGGTTGGGCAACACTACCCTAGGCGTTGGCAACATGACACTGTCTTTCGCCAATGCCACTCTTCAAGAGAACAGCACCAACGTGTTGCTTGTCGCCCAAGACAATACCGGTCACGATCTGCGCGGTGGTGCTACCGACCCCCGCGGTATCCTCCGTGCTACTCTCGAAGGCGCAGAGTTCACATCCTGGAAGATCGCCGGTGAAGCCGGTGGCGAGGACGCGTTGCTCGACCCTGTGCGCGGACCCCTCGCTGAAGGTGGCCTCACAGCCGAACGTCTAGGATGGCACCTTCCCGGCTTCGACGACTCTGAGTGGGCATCCGGCGCACCATCCACTGGCTTCGAAGGCGCAGACATCAAGTTCTACCGCACGACGATCCCCCTTGACGTACCCGCTGAAGTCGATGCTTCTTTCGCTTTCGTCCTCAATGCCGTCGGCTCGAAGACCATTCGTGTGCAGCTGTTCGTCAATGGCTACCAATACGCGCGCTTCAACCCGTACGTCGGAAACGAGATCAAGTTCCCTGTTCCACCGGGTATACTCAACTACTCTGGCGACAATGTGATTGGTTTGAGTGTGTGGGCACAGTCGGAGGAGGGCGCACAGGTTGATGTGGAGCTTGTGCAGGAGTATGCTATTGAGAGTAGCTGGAGCTCGAACTTCGACTCTGAGTACTTGAGGCCGGGGTGGACGGAGGAGAGACTGGCTTATGTTTAAACGTATATTAGAGTGACGCTGATACTGTTGCGCCGTTTTGAATACGAACTCTAGTAGTATCACGTTCGATCCCCACTCCTTGTACCCACCTGTATTGGGTAATACGCAGCCTTCAGTAGGTAATGCACGGGGTGATTTGATTTTCACGATTGGGTGATGGATGAACCTGGTTAATGCATACCGAATCTCGTGTGGACGTGACTGCAGCGACAGCTAGACTGCGATGTTTACTTCAATGTTGTCAATACTACTCCAATTTACAAAGGTAACAATGGTTGCTTAAACATTTAACCTCTCAGAGAAACGTGCGATATTGCTCTAAATACATCTTGGCTTCCACTTGGCTTCAACTCTCGACCGCGCCAACAAATATTTGTAGTCTCGTCACATGCTTTACTTAGCGTCTTCCACTCCCTTCTTCTCAATGTCCCATGCTCCTATACCCTACTCTTCTCCCTTCTCGCGATAAGTGCCCCTCCAACCGTAAAGTTCGTAGTCTTGAATTTGCGCGCGGCAACCTTCCTCTCAAACAGCTCATCTAGCTCACCAAAAGTCCTTCCCTTTGGTTCGGGAAGCCGCCACCAGCTCCACAAAATACCAATCACACTTGTGCCTGCCCAAAAGAAGCCTGCCTTAGCTCCCCATCCCCACGCCGTAGGATTGAGCATGCGTGGCGTGATGATGTTTGTGACGATGCCTGAGATATTGTAGCAGTTGCGCGCCAGAACAATCGTCTTACTTCTCAGACGCGTGGAAGGGATTTCCGAGACGAGGGCATAGCAGATAGGCCCAAGCGTTGCGTCGTAAGCTAGTGTGAAGGCGAGGAGTAGCGCTGCGATAGACCAGTTGAGTGCCGTAGGATGCGGATTTCCGACTTGAGAGGGTGTGCCTACTACCGCTGAGCGAACGGTGACGAAGTGGTGGCGATGTGGGATGCAAGCCAATATCCCGATGAGCAGTACGAACATGAAAGTCATCACTTGTCCGGAGAGGTAAAGTGTACGCCTCCCAAAGTGTGCCATGAGAGCCCAAGATATGAAGACGCCGACCAGGCCGAGGGCGAATTGGCCTAGTGAAAGCGTGAAAGCGTGGGAAGAGCCCAGACCTGCTTGTTCGTCTTGACGAAGTTAGTATACGCCGCGTTCGTTATGTCGTGTGACGTTGGCCGACTTACAGAAGTAGGTGGAGAAGCCCATGAAGGTGCTGCCACACAGCGTCTGGATAATCCAAACCATGCACGTGATCTCAGTCCTGCGCCGGTCCACTCCCTTGAAGCAATCTTTGTAACTTGTGCCACTTTGCATCTGTTGTTCTCTCTCGTTCGTTTGGATCATAGCCTCCATTGCGCCGTTCAGAGCTTTGTCAAACTCATCGTCCGACATGGTTGCTGGTTGTGTGCGCAGCCGACGCATTGTCTTCATCGCATCCACAAAGCGATCTTGTCGTATGAGCCACCAAGGCGATTCAGGCGCGAAGTAAACGGCGAAGAAGATTGGCACTGGAAAGATCCACTGTAGCGCAAAGGGTATGCGGTAGGACCATGTGGTGGTGTTATTAATCATGCCGCGCATCACGATGGACGCTACTAGTTGGCCGAGGACCCAACATGCGTTGACATAACTTGGCGTTGTTAGCTTCATTTTAATGAACCGAGTGCGAAAGTTGGGAGATATAGAGAGATCGATACATACGTAGTCAGGTACGCTCGTAAGGCGACTGGGCATACATCCGCAGCATACACCGTGCATATGCACTGAAACATGCCCCAAGGCATACCAAGTAGACACTGTCCTATCAACAGAACCGTCTTACCTGTGGCAAAGAAGGGCACGAGTATGAACACACTCATTGCCACCAACCCTACCATAAGTGTGTATCGGTACCCGATTCGCTCGGCTAGTATTCCTGTAGCAAAAAGCCCTACGATCTGCCCTGCCAGGCCGCCGTTCACAAGTGCGCTTTGCCAGTCAGCGCTAATTTCGTACAAGCCATTTGATTGTAAGGTGCCGAATTGTTTCCGGAACGGTTGCATTGCGAACAGATTGGGTACGAGAATAGTAGAAAACCCTTCCATGATGAGTGTCATCGATAGTAACACGGACCATGTTATCGCTTTGGGGTATAGGCGCATGCCTTCGCGAAGCGACATTGATCGTTCCGCTTCGTTGTTGCTTTCGGCAATAGTAGTCGTTCTCTCTAGTATCGCATCCGTCGATTCGAGCTTCGATATCGTCGGTAGGGAGGTGAGGGTGTCGTCTGAGCTGTCGAAACTTAGTGTGTCTGATTGGCCTTGCTCCACAAGTTGCTGATCAAAGTCGACGACACCATGTCGTTTCCGCTCCATGGCTGACACCATGATGCTATGGTATGAATCGTCTTGTGTAGAAGTTTGAGCGACAGCAATACTTGTAGGAAGTCGGGATAGGAAAAGGAAGTGTACGCCAGTCACGGATGGGGGTGATGACTGTCACACTTGACATATAGAGCACGCGCGGGGATGCGGAGTCAAAGAAGACCGCGGGGTCACGAGGGAATGGGACGCAGGTTGATTAGGACCGGACGGGATGACATGCCCATGACCTCAAATGAGCGAGCCATGTTCAGCAGAACCCGAGATTGAGTGCACTAAGAAGACACTTGGGGTAGGCAGCGGCGAAAGGTAGCACATAAGGGCGAGCGAGCGGAAGGCGAGTTCTCGAACTAAGACGTTAGCCAGCTGGAGTAGAAGGCCGATCAAAACTTGAAGGCATCGTGACTCGAAGACAACTTGGCGGCTCTAGGCAGAACAGGTTATCGGTGGTTGAAGTGACTCCTACGCCGGTCTACTGTGAAGCAGATACAAGCTTTGTGGTCGGCCGTCGCGGGCCGGACGGGAGCACGCGACCGGCGTACCACTGGGGTAAAGTATGGAGAGTGGTACGGTCCACATTATGATCCGCTCTCATGTCGCTCAACCCATAAACTAATAAGCGCCGAGCGGGAGCACTGAAGACATCTGGGGCGCTTCACGTCATGATCTGGCTAATGCGCTCGGTGATACTTCTGAGGTTAGCAATACCTGGATCTCGTTAGCATAGCTCGCGAAACAATACGTGATGTTACATCAGTAAACGGCCCGGGAAGTACCCTGCGCTGGAACATTGCAATCAATACACCAGTGGAAGGCTAAGAATAGGCTGCAGGTGAATTCGACTCGGTCATATTGGTATCGTGCATCTATCTCTTCAACGAGGATTCAAGTTTTGGCATACTCACTGCTTCGCGGCAGCAGCAGCTTCTTTCTCCTTCTTCTTGCGCTCGACCTCAGCCATCTTAGCCGCCTTCTTCATGGCATTCTTGGTCATCGGCTTTCCGTCGGCGTCCAATGAAGGACCCCCGCTCTCGGTGTCTTGTGCCGGTTGCTCGAGCTTGGGCTTGGTAGGGTTCGGATTACCCTTCCACTCTAGCTTCCGCGGGCGGAGGAACTCGTCGAGAATCTCGTCGGTGACCTTTGCTCTCGCTTCCTGGAATTTCTTGACGTACACAGTCATGGTGTCTACGCATTCCTTCTTCATCTCGCCAGTCAATAGCTCGCCTTTGCGGTAGTCTTCAGCTAGCTTCTTGAGCTTCTCGTCATCGTCTTCGAAGTATCCGATGTACTGGTACGGTACGTCGATATCGGGGTTTCCACCCTTCTCGCGATGGAGCTCTAGTGTTTCTTGGCCACCAGAGAAAGCCTTGGTGTTGATCTTTGTCTTGATTTGCTTTGGAGTATCGCTCATGAAGATGGCAGAGTTGGCATCGGACGCGCTCATCTTGCCACCGGCACCTTGCAAAGCAGTGAGAAACTTGGAATGGATGAGGGCTGGCTTGGGCGAGGGAAGATCCATTCGGTGGCAGTTCTCACGAACCAGACGGAAGTAGGGATCTTGATCAATAGCGCAGGGAATCAGACAGGGTATGGAAGCAAGCTTCTTCGAGCGCTTGTAGGTCGTGTGATCTTCACCCCAGATAAAGGGGTACGATGAGGCAAAAGCGGCAACGCACTGCTTAGCTGCGAATGCATTGCTGCCGATGTTTGTTGAGCCATCGAAACCAAACGCGCCGCGCACTTGGTTGTTGGTAACCAGCTTCTCGAACTCAGTGGTGTTGAGACTGAAGTGTCGGTTGAAGCCGGATGTGAAGAACTCAGAGTCGATGTACATGAAGGTCTTCTTGATATCGAAGCCGACGGAGATGACATCCTTGGCGTTCTGCCGCGAAAATTCGTAGACTTCCTCCTGCTTGAGCTTCTCCTTGAACAGGAACTTTTCGTCATCCGTCAACATGATGACCAGCGGAACGTCGAAGACATCCTGCAACCACTTTGTGAACTCGAAGGGTATAGTGTGACCAATGTGCATGGCATCACTGCTAGGTCCGCGGCCGGTGTAGAGTAGAAAGTCGTCGCCGCGCTCGTATGTGTCCAGGATGAGCTCAAGATCGCGGTGGGAGAAGAAAAGGCCACGCCGTAACCAGCGGTGCGGCTTGTGGCCTGTGACGCGCTCGAATCGCTCCAGCAGCGGTTGGTCTATAAGTTTTGTGGCCCACTTTTGCGAGATGGCGACGTAGTCGAATTGCTTGACATTTCCCTCTTCGTCTACGCCGGCCTGTACATCCCAGGGGTTGATCTCTTGCTCGGTCGCTTTCGAGACGGATTGTGTCGCTGTGTCGGAGAGTGAGAGGGCGGCGACGGCGGGTGGCTCGGGCTCGGTCATGGTGCTGGCTGTGTTGGAGGATGGCTTGTGTGTCGGGCTGTAATGAAGGAGTGACTCCAGCCTAGGGAATTACGTGGCGCGATTCTTTGGTGTTGGAGCTGAGTCACTGGATATTCGGCGATGGGAGACCCCACCTCAATTTGGCGTTCCTGTGGCTAGACCTGCCCCGCACTCCGCCACAGTCTGCGCCACGCACCAGCCACAGCGGCGTTACGGGAGGGAAAGCCGATGCAGGTCAGCAAATCTCGTCATGGCGCCAGGATGGCGAGAGCTCCAGACGTTTCTATCCTGGTCCTCACACCACCCAGCCCGACAACTCGCCCTACCCCTCTCCAGCGCGACTAGACAGCCTGTCCGATTGTCACGGTTGGATGCGCTTGACCATGCGACTTCATCATCGGAGATAGACGACCGCGCGTTCCAGGCTGCCTTGAGCTCCTACCTATACCATTTTATATCTCCCGCCCTTTACCGCCCACCCACGCCTACAGACACCGATTCGATCACGACGACGTCACCATGGTCAAGTTCTACTCCTCCAACGAGACGTACTCGTACCCGTTCCCCGCCGTCTCGCTCGCCTACTTCCTCCGCTACCCGAACCCTTACTCCACTCATGTGATCTCCACCGACACCATCGCCCGCAACTACGACCCGGAGACCCAACGCCTGACGACTATCCGCCTCCACCTAAAGCGCTCCAAAGTCCCTTCCGCCGTTCTGAAGCTCGTACCGCGGTCCCTACTTGGCACTTCAGCTAGTGGAGAATCGCAGACTTACATTCTCGAGAAGTCGGTCGTAGACATCAAAGAGGGATGGATGGACACGGAGTCACGGAATCTCGAATGGACGGGTGTGCTGTCTGTCGTAGAGAGGCAGAAGTTCATACGTCCTTCGCCGCTGGTGCCCGAGGACGTGAAGATGCGGCAAGCCATGGACGGTGCCACGCAACGCCAGGGCTTCATCAACTTTGGCGCCAAGGGTGCAGGTGCCAGGGTCGAGGATTCGGGTGAGACTACCGACGTCGTAAGCTCTGTCACACTACACAGTCACATCGGGGAGACATGGAAGAAGAAGCGCGCGGCTGCAAGGGAGGACGCTGCGGATGAGGAACAGCCACAAAAAATGGGCTTCCTGCGGAGTTGGGGCACCGCGGCTCTCCAGCGAAACATCGAAAAGATTGGTCTGTCGCGCGCGCAGCGAAGTCAGCCGAACGCGCGTGAAGGCATGAAAGTGGTTCTGGAGCGTATGCGGGAAGGCGGCCTTGTCGGGGTACTGGAGGGCATGCGACAAGACCGCGAAGCCATTCTCGCCGGCCGTCCACTGTCAACCCCAAGAGCGATCACCAAGGACGAGTGATCTCGTTACCACTCAGATGATAGAGCGGTTTCTAGTCACTCGCTCGATTGACGAGTCCCATGTTTCCGATATGAACATTCAGCGACGGCGTAACGGTCTCTCTCCCTACTTTTTCTCATTTCGTCATTACCTCGCTCTCTTGGTGCATGGACCAGGTTTTGTGTTACTATTACATTTTCATGTTGCCTCGTGTCTTGGTTTGGAACGATGGTAACGATTGTAAAGCAATAAGCAAGTCTCTTGTATCATGTCGCGAGTCTTTGCAAAAAATCGACTACAAAGTCTGAAAAGTTCATTGCAGCGCTGCGTCTTGTTCTCACTTGACAAGTGAAACTCGGTGCTGGTCGTTCCTTCCGCTCTCTCGATGGGTTGCTTCGATCCCGATCATCGCTTCTGGGCAGCAGGAAGCTACCACATCACCTCGTACGATAACCTATTCCTCAGCATCGATCTCATGCTCAAAGCTTCATTGCACCATGCGTCTACTCGCGCACTACGACATTCCAACCTCACCGATCATTCCATGAATCGCGGCGACTACTTACTACCGCCACTACCCGGCTGTGATGACCTAAAACAGCCAACAACAAACAACTCAACGCAGAGTAACGACATCTCAACAGACAACAAGACACCCACGCCGTGCGACCGCTACAGTGAAGGTGAACCGTCACCCTACAGTTACCTTCAGCCCCCACTAAAGAAGACAAAAGCAGTCTACAAAGGCTATGACGCCTACCATTCTCAAATCCGCAAACTCGACTGGCTAAAAGCCCACCGCGCCCTCACCACCTCCCCCGAAGTAACACCCCACACAATCTGGCTGATCGAAACCCTTCAAGCCATCATCAGCCGCTGGGAAGCCGTCCTCCCCTACATCGCCTCACCCTACCCCATCCCTCCCAACAACCCATCCGCTTTCACCTAGGACGCGATCCCGGAACCACCATCCGGCCGAGAACACCTCCTCGCACTGCGCGACTGCCTAGAAGAGAAAGGCAGAGCGATCATCGGCCAGCCGTTCGTGGATAACGCGGATGTGCTGGCTGAGATGGACTTACCCGGCTTTGGTACCAGGAGGGTGCTGAAGGTTTTTAGACTGCAGGAGGCTAAGCAGTTGGCTTTGCATACTTGTTTTGTGAGGAATTTGGTGTTGGGGTTGGAGAAGTTGGAGGAGGCTTGTAGGGCGCATGGGGTCAGGTTTGTGGGAGGTGGGCATGTGGAGGCTGAGGATGTACAGGGGACGAGGGAGGGGGATGTGGTTTTGGGGATTGCGGTGAAGGAGATAAGGGGTATTGATGGACCGTTCGATGTGGGAAGCTCATTTTGACTATAGGCAGATTAGTTACCATCAACTAGCCGTGGTTACCTAGATACGGCGTTCGCCACGTGATGCTCAGATGAACAGCCTGGCAAACCACCGTTACCATATCTCGCTCTCCCAATGTACTCAACCAAAGCTGCCCTCGCAAAAAGACCCTCAGGCTCGAGCGCGAAAGACAGAGAAGGCCACGTGATGCTATGATTCGCGAATCTCTTGGCATGTAGATCGCCGTGCAGCGCAGTCGATTTTGGTGACGCCAAGAATCTCATGGAATACAGTACCACCTTCCAAGGTTGTGCATCGATCAAACTGGCTTAAAAGCTGGGAGCGGACTGTCGAATGGCTGCAATGCGCTTGCCGCCTGTGAAGGTGGGCAAGCGAGTGAGGCTGAGTTTTGCATCCATGTCTAGGTGCACTGCCTCGACTTGACTTCAATCCTATCCTCGCCATTATACTCTCTCACTCTTCCAACCTACCGCACCATGTGGTTGCTCGACACTACCTCTCTCAAGTTGCGTCAATTTATCACCAACATACCCGACTACGTAATTCTGTCCCATACGTGGGGTAAGGATGAAGTCGGCTTTGACGATATCGCTCAACCTCACGCGAAAGACATGGCCGGCTTTTCGAAAATATCGCGGTGCTGCGCCCAGGCCGTGCAGGCTGGGTTTGAATGGGCCTGGATTGACACATGCTGTATTGACAAGAGAAGTAGTGCTGAGCTGTCCGAAGCGATAAATTCAATGTACAGGTGGTATTGGAACGCCGCGATCTGCTACGCATTCATCTCAGACGTTTCCAGCGAAATCAGATATCTTCACTATTCACGGTGGTTCAAGAGAGGTTGGACGCTACAAGAGCTTCTTGCGCCGGATACGATAGAGTTCTACGACTCGGACTGGATATTTTTGGGCACAAAGACGAGCCTTGTAGAATCAATCTTCGCCGCAACGAAGATCAACAAGCAATGCCTACTTGACCGGACCACAATTAAGCACGCTAGCATAGCGGCGAAGTTTAGTTGGGCTTCTAGTAGAGTGACAACGCGCGAGGAGGATAAGGCGTACTGCTTACTCGGTCTCGTACAGGTGAACATGCCGATGTTGTATGGAGAGGGCCGGGATGCCTTCTACCGGTTACAGCTCGAAATCATCAAACAGAATAACGACCATACGATCTTCGCGTGGGCTCCCAGTCATCAACCATCTGGCTTCATGGGCCTCTTCGCATCTTCGCCTGCACAATTCGCGAATTCAGCTGGATTTCGGCCCAATGCCACGCGAAAACGACAGCCTACAACCTACGAAATGACCAATCATGGACTCAGCATCACCATTCCATGTCTAATTCGCCGGGCTCGGATCATTGCACTTCTGGACTGTTCAGACTCGACCGGACTGCGTTCTGGAATTGATCTAGCACCCACTGGTACTTCGACATACAAAAGACTGAATACGCCTTTGACAAAGGTTGATCCTATCGAGGCCAAACAAGCCACCACGAAGACTGTTTACATTGAGACAGGCAGCCGAAGCCTTGAAGAACCGTCGGCATACTTCAGTGCGATGACAGTGTACAACATGTCGGAATCAAGTCGGATTTCCCGCATCACCACCGGAGATTTTATGGAAATCTATCCCGACCATCTAGACGCATTCCGCGCCATGCATAATCTTAACATGCGACATGATGATTCTACATCAAATCTAGAAGATCAGATTGTCCACGATGGCGAGTTCATCAGTTTTGTGTTCATGTTGCACGACCTTGTTGGCTACTTGTTCTTTCTGGGTATGTACGGAGGTCGTCCGTGGATCCATGTATCGCCCTATATGCCTGCCCAGTGGACGGAAGAAGTGAACGAGAAACGCAAATTGTTCGAAGCTGGAACAGGGGATCGACCCATTCCTGGGCAACAGAATCACTTCACAGACTATCTCAGTTTGCCTATCGAAGGATATCGTAGGTTGGAGGCGCTAGCAAGGAAGACACGCGCTGAAGATGGTGTACAATGGAATGTAAACATATCCGTCAAGGACACGAGGAGGCAGGAACTCTGATAATTCATGCACGCCATTCAAGGCGCATATGGTAGCGACCAGAAGCACGTCGCTGGACGCGGGGTCAGATACATTGCTTTCATTTATGATCTCTTATAGCAGTTTCTTGGCCTTACCCTATTCAAGAAAAGAACTAAACAGGGCTGCAGGTTACATTAAAATGAAGATAGGCGAAGTAGATAGCTTAACATCAATGTAGGCTTTAGGAGGCTTAATCTTTTCCTGGGTCAACGTAGGCTCAACCAACTCACGAGCCTTCTTCAATATGGGTAAGACAACCCCCTTCAACACCCTACCTGCGCCACCGACACCACCCCCAAAACCCCCTTCTTCTCGGCCTCCCAGACCCATTCTCAACACAAGCCGCCCTCCTCAGCTCCTCTTCTCTCCTATGCCGCTCCACCATCTCCAAGCTAGCCGGCGGCGCCGCTAGCCGTCGCTGCTCGTCGCTGATAGCCCTGTTGACACTGATACACCTCCTCGAGATGGTTGTAGCAATATCCAATAAGCCATGCTCTTCAGCTAGATGCCGCACATCCTGTGCTAAATCCATGATGCTGAAGAAATCCGAGTCTGGGTCGACTTGTCCGGTGCGGGTGACGGACGCAAGATCAAGGGCGAAGTCGTGGGCGAGAATGGTTTCGGCTTGGAGAGTGACGAATTCCCGCATCGAGAGTCGAGGAGCGGATAGCGCTAGCGGTGTGGTGTCGCTTGAAGCAGCGGTCGCAGGCTCATCCGGTGGGGGCACCTGCCCATCGACCGTTCCATCTTGCCGTGGATATTCCGCCATCGTGCCCCAAACTCTCATCTGATGCCTCCTTCTCTCGAATAACCCCCTCTCGCTCTTCCTCGCATTCCTCTCCTCACAGTCCCTTCCAACCATGTCCGCAAACCCAGCAAGCGAATTTGATATCTTGTCAACAGCGTCGCGTCCCTGTGGATACCTATCCCGCATTTTCTGCAGCGCTGCCAATGCATCTTCAACGAGACTAGGCATCTCCTTCAGTTCTTCCGATATCTCTTCGGGATGTGTAGGGAAGAAGTCTTGGCGGCATAGTGGGCAGGTGCTTGCGTTGTCGAACCAGGTTTCGATGCAGGATGCGCCGAATATGTGGTCGCATGATGGCATTTTTAGTGCATGGTGGCTTTTTAGGGGAGTTGTGTCGGCACACGGCTCGGCACAGATTGGGCAGACATGGGGTGAGGCGTCTTTCGAGGAGGAAGTTATGTGCGGAGAGGTATAAAGGGCTGTGTTGCTGAACGTTTCGCGGGTGTTGTAGAGTGGTGCCATTTTGGGATGTGGATTTGAATGTCGTTGGTGAAGACTTTTGGGATTGTCTTGAGGTGGGTTTGGAAGTGGGAGATGATGCAGATTCATGATGTGAAAGATGCGCTTATATTTTCAAATAATGTCTCTGCGTTCATACCATGGTTCTTTGCATACGGGCTTTGCATCTGACTCATGGTTGGCGATATCCGCGTTTTGCATCGACGAACCAAAGTTGATGGAGTTCAAATTACAACTTCAGGATCGGCATACAACGCGTACCAGATGTTCATCGGCTACCCTGTGAAATTAACCTTGAGAAGTTGCGTGAACATGTTGACCTAGGTAGAAACAAAGCAGGTCTGTAGCCTACATTAATACAGAAACGTGCAAAGTAGGTGATCTGACGTTAATGTAGGCTCTAGGCATGTTTAAAGATATAACAGAACTTATTCATAATAAGAAGAGATCTAGTTGCACCGCAACCCAAGTGACCAAAATACCGTTCTAGATACCAAATAACGTTGTATTGTTTTGTAGCGTACAAGGTGTCGCAATAACGGCACCAGCTGAATCAAATAGCCGACAACTCGAACGCCGCCGAGATGTTGAAATCCTGCCCATGCATGTCCATGACGTCGTCACCTTCGAGTCTCTCTGAAGAGTCGTTGTCGTCGTCGTTAAGCTCCGGTGCCCACCTGGCCTGAACGCGGAGGGTATGGCGATAGTCCTCCAGCATCTCTATCCCAACTCGCAGAGTGATCTCGTAGACCTTCTCGCCTTTCCTCTTACAGCCAGGTAGCTGTTCTGTTCCAATCTTCCCTTTAAGAGCGTTCATGTCGTACTCGATAACACCCAGTTCTGCTACGCCTGCATTTTCATCCCCGTCAACCGCATGCCACGACTCCTTTGGACCATTCTCCGTGTACCAGATAGACTCTCTGGCGATCCATTCATCTGATGCATGAAAAACATGCTTTGAGGTGATGAAGAATTCCTGATCCGGTGAAAACTCTTCCCCTTTTTGTGCGAAGTAATGCAAGAGATTGAAGTAATAGAACTTCCCATCTAGGCCACGTTTGGCGGATAATCCGCCAAGATGTGCAAGCTTAGGATATTCCAGAGTGACCTGCGCCGAGCCCCATTGTTTGGGAACAGTTCGCGTAACGGCGAAACTCGCGCGGAGGAGCCGGCTCGGAGGGAACATGTCCACATTCAGGGCTCGAATACCTGCGCCACCAGCCACTGCAAAGCTCCTTTCGACTGTTAGCTCCCATGATACTGATAGTATATACCTTTTGAACTCACGAGATCGCCTTGTCATGAATGTGTTTTGGGGGATGAGGCCAATTTTGGGTACACTCCTTTCCTCTGTCACGAAGCAACATGCTATCCGAGAACTGGCCAGTCCAGGTGACGCATGAGACTGTCCCTCCTTTGGCTTCAATATGCTGGTACTGTTCGTGGAAGAGCGCATCGAGGCCGGTTAGAGAGTCTCCCACGACTTCATCGTATTCTTCTCTATGCCACGTTAGTAACCATATGGTCCTCAGGATGGATATACTCTTACGGTGTCAGAAAGAGCTCGTTCCTCTCAAAATTCCTTGCTTGATCTGGCTGCAGACCATAGATGCGAAATCCGGGTGGTCGTTCGTTTGGGTCTGTGTCTCTCGTCGTCAAGTCTGGACAGGATCTTTTGATGTCGCTCTCGAAGAACTGCACTGCACTTTCGATGATGTTGGAGACGGAATCATTGCTTTGAAGAAGTTGACCAAGGACTCCTTCTTCTTCGAGGCGTGCAAACTTTCTCTCCAGTATTCTTCTTACGTTGTTGTTCCAAGATTCGCCTCCACACGTTTTACCTGTCCCATATCAGTCACTTGCAAAGCAGTCGCCATAGTTGTGGTTAAACTTACAACTCATTTCGCAGACAAGCTCCCAGCGGTCTGGACTCTGACGCGTCTTCTTGAGCGTGGTTAATTGGATGGTTCCACCTCCAGCGTCCACATTGAGTACGCAATCGTCCACCTGTCTCAAAGATTAAACGATCACCTCATTACGTAGAGAGCTATTAACGTACTTCGAAATCGCCGCCCCAGTTTGAAAGACAGTAAGAAGCTGCAGCCTCCGGTTCAGACGCCGTTGTGATTCGAGGCGGCGTTTGCGCGTCGTGTTCGGGCCACACTATACGGATAGCTGACACAAAGGAGCTGTACCATCGATGATACGACTTCACGCTCCAGGCAATGGGGGCACAAATGACGAACTCTGGATGTACAAATCCTTCGTCAAATTTCTTCTCCCGCACTCGAGTAAGCGACTGCACGAGATAGTCCGTAAAAGCATCGTCTTGGGCGTGGATGAAACCGTCTCGTTGAAGGTCGTCTAGTTTCTGCTCGAGCTCCGAAGTATTGATCGAAGAATCCAAAAGCAGCTTCAAACCAGTGATCCACCGATGCTTCAGCTGGTGGATGTCGTCCCAGGGGTTCTCGATTCTCGAAGACATTGACCAACCCCAGAGAATGGTGTTGTCATCAAGAGATCCGCCGTAGCACTGCTTTGTGGGAACCACATCGCTATGTTTGCCATCTTTATTTTTTCGCGGCCAATCGTGGAAATATTCCACATGTCGGTACGTAATGTCGTTAACGTTTCGGTTTGGAGGGACCACAATACGAGCGACCGTTGCGAATGTCGTTCCCATGTCAACGATCAACAAAAGCCGGCCCCGCTGGGAGGACGTGACGTTGGAAGAGCCCATATCTTCCTCTGAACCGGAGGCAGGTTAGGGGAGGAACGGATGGAATGGAGATGGCGCGATTGCGCACTGAACCTTCGCTAAGAGCTAACGGCGACATGCAAATTTTGGTGAGACATACCATGTATTTTTATGCATCTGAACGCCACAAAAATGCAGGGTATTGTCCGCGGAGTTTCTGTGAGGTTCCATGTAGGTGCAGCAGCAAACATTCTAAGACAGGGGTGTCTTGAATCAACAAGTTGGCGACCGTGGACACAACAGCAGCGCCAAAGCCGTAATCTTGAGCTCGTATAAGATACCGTCAAGCGCGCGACTTCTTACATTTCTTCGAACATTCAACTTTGTCCGCGTCTTTGGCGTCTTTGGCGTCCTCAGCGTCTGTGAGACCCTCACGATGAGCAGCTGTCCTCCACGCTGGTCCCCACACGAACGCGCCTTGTTGTTCGCATGCGTGCAGCATTGCCACGAAACCCAAATGAGCCTCGAAAGGAACCTTCACAGGATGCTTCAGCATGTCGGCGAATCAAGCGTCTTCCACCGGATTAGCAATGCGCGTACATGGAAGGCCATCCGCAACTATTTGCATAAGCAAGCGCCTTCCGTCAAGCGCGCTATTCGTCGCTTTGAACAGGAAGGCATCTCATTCCTCTCCTTGGATCCAGACGTCATGGACTATATCGCTGCGTACAGTGATGAAATCTTGCGGCAGGCGCCTTCTTTGCACTCTCCCACGGAGACTGGAACAACTTCGGCTGTCGACCACGACAATGCGCGAGGCTCAGCAATAGTGAGTTGTAGTGCTGATATACTGCACGTATGCTAACACTTTGAAGCCTACACGCGCTACAGGATCGAAGAAGCGCGCCGCGTCAGACGGTACCGTGACTGGCAGGCCGAGCAAAACCGCGAAAACGACCGGGAACCACGAACGAGGTCCATCAGCAGCCGTACATATGGACATCGAAGGACGGGAGGAGGAAGGCCTGGCCACCGGGCAGGATGATCAAGAGCATGCTGGACTGGATATAGTCGGTGCTGCAACGTCGGAGAACCCGACAAACCTCGCTCGCGGCTCGTCCGGTCGAGCCGAGATGCAGCTGGAAAGACACCAGATGCTTGGTACACGTGCTGGCAAGGGAAAAGCGCGACAGGCAATGGTATGTTGTTGACACCTCGCGGCATTGGATGTATGCTAACCGAACATAGCTTGGGCGGATGAAGCTAACCAGCGCTAGCCGCACCGTCATCCCCACCAAATCTCCCCGCCGCAATGTCCCGGATGCTCCCAGACGTGCCACAACAGAAAGCGCAACCCTCAGTCACGACAAATTTGATGATGCAGCTGTCATCTCATATCTCCAGAAGCGCTACGATCATGTCGTCAACATCGAACGCGAGGCGAGCAGCGAACTGCGGAAAGTGCAGGCCGACAACACGAATCTGCGACAAGAGATCGAAGAGCTCCGCCAACAGGTCAAAGAGCTTCAAACACCGAGCAATGCTGAACTTCGCCAACATGCTACTACGCTCAAGCAGCAGGGAGAGACGCGATCTTTGAACGAGAAGACGACGCTGTCTATCCAGGCCCTTGAACTTAGGCAGTGCAAAGAGAGGAATCAACTCCTCGAAGAGCGCCTCAAGAACAAGGAAGCACTTGTAGGCCATCAGAAATGCATGCTCGATAACCTGAGAGAGCCTCATCTCATCCCTCGGTCTCAGGCATATCCGGTCGTATACGACATCCAGTGTCTTGGTCCAATGTGGTCTCGTCGCATGGAAGGCTTGGCACGTGTCTTCCCACAATACAACCCGGCCACCACTTTGAGTCCTCAATATGTCCTCCCTGCGAAGTTCGAGATCGCCATGCGTACCATCACTGGGCTACCACTAGCACAGACCGGAAACTTAGCACTCGCGGCGTGCTTCGCTAATGTTACGGCCCTACCCACCGACGTCAACATCTACGCGGCCTTGTTCAAATCCTATGCGCTACGATGGGTCTACGATACCAATTTCCATACCGATGGATTAGATTCGGAGAAACTGGAGGATCTGTGGCAGTCGATCGCTCTAGAAGGTAAGCATCTATCAAGCCTGCCGCGGATAGCAACTAACCAAGACAGGCGGACTCAAAAGCGTGCGAAAGCAAGATACGATAGCCACACTCTTCAAGATTAACAATAGGCATTTCCGAGACAACGAACTACCTGCCAAGGCCAAACACCAAATTGACATCTTCATCGAGGAGTTCCGTGAGCTCATTCCTTGGCTGAACACGAAGCGTACAGAGCTCACGACATGGCTAAAATATGCCATGATAATCAAGATCGAGCTTCTTGTATCCAATCAACATCACAAGATGGCCTTCCCACCACCTGGAGTACCCTTCGACAAGGAGACGATGCATGGCTTCCTCGAAAACGGAGATAGTCCGGGACTTGGGGAAGACTGGTCGAAGTATCGGGTCAAAGTCTGCCTCAGCCCTGCGCTTTACAAGTGCATCTCCGAACCAGAATGGAGTGATATCAACGGCTTCGATCCCAGCACAGACAACTACAAAGATGCTCTACTTGAAGCGAGGGATTTCTTTCCCGAGGAGCCGGGCAAGTATCATGGCTGGGAAGGATCTTTCCTGGTGGCTCGAGCTCTCGTTTCTATCGAGAAGCATCCAGAGGTGCCGCAGTCGAGTCAGGTCCCACGACTTCGACTCATCCAACGCTCAGCAGAGAAGAGCCAAGACGTGGCGGAGGATCACGATGATGAAGCCAACAGTGAAGATGGTGACCACGACGGGGGTAGCGACAACAGCACGGATGGTAAGAGTAACGAAGGCAGCGAGGACACCGAAGATGGCGTCGCGGAGCAGTAAGAATGGGTAGAGCGCAGTATTTCTAAGTATGATGGTGGAGTGCAGATGCAGATAAGGGCAACAAAACGCGGTCAGGTAACTCCATATCATTGAACATATAGGTATCCAATGTTGCAATGTAGAGAATGTGCGAACATTCAGTAGCGTAACTTAATATCCTCTCATCTCAACCTCAGCCAGATAATCCAATATTCCATCTCAACCCCCCACTCCAATCCACCATCTACCCAACAACCCTCCCAAACCCAAACCCCCTAACCCCATTACTAACCCACACCCCCTCCCCCACACTCACAGTCTCAATCCCCACCGGCTCCTCCATACAAAACCCACTGCCCAACGCCCACCTCCGACTCGTCCCCCTCTGCCCCCCAGCCCCCACCTTCGCACTCCTCGTACTATGCCCCCACCTCCCCGCAAATGGCCTCCTCAACTCCCCCTCATCCGCCCCATCATCCCTCAACGTTTTCCTCGAAAATTCGCTTGACGGCACACCCACAGGCGGCGTGACCCACCTCCCCCCACGGAATAGGTACAGCGATGTCAGTGTGCCTTCGGTTAGCTCGCGGACTTCGTTGTAGAGCATGACTTCGCGGTAAGCGGGACCAGCGGGGTTAGGGGGGAGAGCACGTTCGCGGCTTTGGTCGTACATTTCGCGCTTTGTGGTTTTGAGGAGGGTGAAGGGGGAGGAGGGGGTGGGTGCTGTGTCTAGGGCGATTTTCCACTCGGGGGGTGGAGGGGGATGGGAGGAATGGGAAGAATCGCCGGCGGGGAGGCTGTCTGTGGGGCCGAGGTGTAGGGCGCCGCCTGTGAGGGGGGAGGGCGTGAATGGTTTTGGGGTGGTGGCGGTGTTGGGGTTGGCGGGATGGTGGGGTGGGGATGGGGATGGTGGGTCTAGAGATGGGGGGTAGAGGGTTGATAGGGGGACGGTTGGTATTGGAGTACATTCCACGGTTAGATTGGCGGCTTTGTCGAATAGGAGGCGGAGCTGGGTTGTTCTTAGTAATGTGTAGGGATGGTCTAATGCAGGTCGTACCTTCATTGCTTCATCTTTTCCTGTTTTCTTGATCTCGTCTTGCACTCGCTTCAACAGTTCCTCATGCAAAGCCTTCCCGTCTTTCAGTCTTTTCTCGACTTCGAAAAAGTCAAAGTGCTGTGCGGCTTCCACCATCCGGTCTCGGTGGTACGCAAGCATGTAGAAGGGTGACGGCGTGACGAAGTTCAAGATGGCTCTTGAGTTTTCCTCTGACTGGAGCAGTAATGGATCGTATCTGAGGGATGTGAAGAGCTGGAATTCGTCTTCTGATGCCATGATGAGCCGGTTGTGAAAGTGATGACTCTTCGTGAACGTTGAATGCGGGTGATTACAGGTTGTTCGACAGAGGTCTTTGGACTTGACTATGATAGCTTATATCAAGCCAATGTTGGATGCAGATATGCAACGATGTTGTGTCGTATATGAGACTTGTCTATGTAGATGTACGACGGATGTGCTGTCATTGATGGTGGGTCAGCGAGTCGACAGTCCAATCCGTTCCGAGCGGACCTCAGCCCGGATTTGGTTCCGAAGTCGGCTGATTGGTCAGGACGCGTACTGCATAGAACTTCGTGAACTCTGAATCTGGATTTGTTAACGTGTGATGCTCTGTTGCGATTTCCTTGGCTATTTATACTTAGTGATATGTCTAGTCATCCCATCATTGGCGACAGTCTCGAAGCACTACATTTAAGGGAAGAATGGTGATTAAGCCTCATCCAAACCACCATTCCAACACAACAACACCTTCACTCGATCAACACCTAATATATCAAACTCCAATTGGCCCGGTGCAAGTTCCGCAACAATCCACAGCATTAACTGTCACATACCCCTCTCAGAAAGATGAGACCCAGCATTCCAAAACAATTACCTTACTTAGTAGACAAAAGGCAAACCCGTAGATGATTGTAGAAAAGCGGTGTTTACCTCCACCCAACCATGGTGCTGGAGGTAAAGAACCATGACTGGGGCCGAGAAAGCTCCCTTACCAATGAAAGGAAGCGAGGATGTGGATCGCAGGTCTGGCGCGGAGGTTTGTACCGAAGCTGTGACAGCAGGTGGGTAAGAAGCGAGATGATGACATGATGATATGAGGCTGATCAGGGGCGCGTGTAAGGAGTCGTGTATGTGTCTGCGCGCAGTGCTTTCGAGTGAAGGTTCATTTTCTCTTTATTCTGGTCCACGACCGCTGATGATATTGCGGATCTGTTGGAAAGTTCGGTGAACAATGTATTACTATATACGCCAGGGCATCGCTGGCCGGCGGCAACGTAGTAGGCCCTTCACCTTCAGCGATGATGCAGCTCAGCAGGTCTCTACGAGCTCATCCAGCCTGTGAAGCCACACTCACCCCGTGCGCGTCGCCACGCGTTTGATGATCTGACGCGGACGCTCTTGCGCAGCAGCAGGAGGAATCCACGATGGACGAGTCTTCGTTGGCTTCGTTGAAGCAAAACCCCCAACTGCGCCCCTCTGAGCACTGATCAAAGCCTCTATGACAGCGCCAGCCTCTGCGCGTACATCTACATACTTGGCCGGAACCAGAGGCGGCTCGACATGAAACCTCAAGCTGCCCGTCAAATCCAATGTGTTGCCCGCGCGCAGCGTATTCAAAAGACCTGGCTGGCTCTTGCGGATCTCAGGATAGACAAACTTGCCATTCTCGTCGTATCCGCGAGCTTGGAGCTCTTCTTTGATAGCGTTGCGCAGACGCCGTCTAGCCCATGTTCTTACACAGCTGGACTTGTTCAGGTCGGCGGGGGTGGTCGCATGCCACCACAGTCCCTCCCTCTTCTTCTCTCGCTGTCTGCGGCGCTGCGTCTCGCAGAGGGGGTGCTGGGGATCGGACGCGACGTGGTTGAGGATGAAGTGCTTGTAGTCGGTGGCATAGCTGACTTTGAACGTGCGCGGCTGCTGTCTGGCGAGGAGCGAATAGACGGCATTCTTTGACATGCCTCTCCTGTGTATGCACGGTGACGTAGGGTGAAGGAGCAGCGAGTGGGGGTGAAAAGGCTCGAGGACCACGGATGGATTGATTTTCGGCCGGGTGAGCGACGGGGCGCTAGGCTCTAAGCGGGCTTAGCGCGCAGTGTCGAAGGCTCCCACAGTGAGTCGGAATCCACAGTGCAAACAACCGTCGAGCCGCCACTACATAAAGACTTGCGCCCGCCGACGCTTCTGCCACCAACACCAAACACAACTCCACCCACACCCACACCAACTTCGACTACCGCCCACCATGCCGAAGAACAAGGGAAAGGTATGTTCAGCGCTCTTCTGGAGGGGCTGCCCCGCCACTTCTCCCAGCGCCTGACGCCCAAACCTCACGGCGCTTTCTGTGTCTGGGCGATGCGGCGCTTCCTCTCACATGCCACGAAGCACCTGCTAACATGACTACCAGGGAGGTAAAAACCGACGTAGGGGTAAGAACGAGAACGACAACGAAAAGCGCGAACTCGTCTTCAAAGAAGAAGGCCAAGAATACGCCCAAGTCGTCAAGATGCTCGGAAACGGTCGTCTAGAAGCCCAGTGCTTCGACGGCGCCCGCCGTCTCGCCCATATCCGCGGCAAGCTGAGGAAGAAGGTCTGGATCAACCAGGGTGACATTATCCTGCTGTCGCTGCGAGACTACCAGGATGAGAAGGGTGATGTTATTATGAAGTACTCTGGTAAGTACTCTCTCTATCCCTTACCGCTGTTTGAGTGTGTGGTATTAATATCTCGATAGCCGACGAAGCCCGCTCATTAAAAGCCTACGGCGAACTCCCCGAAAACGCAAAGATCAACGAGACAGACACGTACGGCGACCAGGGCGACGAGGGCATCGGTTTCGAGTTCGACGAGGACCGCGACGACAGCGATTCAGACGAGGCTGACGGCACCGGCAAGAAGGAGATCGATATTGACGACATTTGAGGGGGAGGCGCGCAGATCCGCCATGCTGTCTCGGCTCCTGCTTTGCGGCTGCTGCTTTCGCTGTGGCGGGGGCCGGGCTGCTCAAATGCTGCTTCTTGCGAGCGGGCGGATGGTTGATGAGGGATGTTGAGGGATAACATGGTTCCGTATGGATGATCATGAGGTTGTTCGGCATGTTTTTATGTTACATGCTTTTGGACTTTTCGTGAAAGCATGATGGGATAGAGAAATGATATACGCATAATCTTCGTCCAACCTTCTGCCGTCCTAGATCTTTGTTCTCTCATGTACCAACATCGTCACGTCACCTTCCAACATCCCAACCTCTAACTAAACCCCTGCCACTGCACCTCCTCATACACACTGCGATTTAAAAACCTATGCACCCTCCTCCCCACATCCGTCCCGACCAACCAACAAATCTCCCTCTCCGACATATTCGCCACCTCAAACACACTCTCGCTCTTAAGCATCAACGTCGACACCACATTCTCATTCACCCCCGGCAGCGCCCTCAACATATCCTGACTCGTCTGATTAAAGCTCCTCATCTCATCCCCACTCTGATTCGGATCAAGCCCCAACTGCACCGCCCTCATCGGATCAGGCTCATCCTGCTGTTTCTTGAGCTCTGCGAAGATCTCAGCCGTCTGGTACGGACTGCTGCTCCAAATAATCCTCAGCCGTGGGAACGCGAGGGTAAGCATGACGAGTTTGGACTGGAGGTCTGGTGTTGTGGCGGGTCCGTTGGCGGAGGAAGAACTGCTACTGCTGCCGGCTGAGTAATCCGTAAAGGGTTCTAGGGTGAACGACTTGTTTTGGTCGAATTCGATGAGCAGCATGGGGTGTTTGTAGTGTTCCATCATGGATTCGACTTGGTTGAACAGGCGGCCGTTGGCGAAGGATTGGATTAGGTCGCGGATGGACTTGCGCTCGATGCAGATTTGCGGGGTGAGGACGTAGTCGCCGACGGTGAGCATGCAGGGGACTATTACGATGGACCGGCCGTGGAGGAGCGAGGGGAGTGAGGACCGGAATTCTCGGACGTCGACGACGACGCGCGGGGGTTCGGTGGTGGCGGCTAGGCGGCCGCCGCCGGCTATACGTGTGTTGATTGTGCGGAGGAAGGACTCTTCGGGCGCGAGGTTGGCGGTCGAGTTCATGGTTAGGGCCATGTTTGCGCGCTCTTTGATGAGGCGGGTGAAGGCGTCTTTTTCGCGGCGCACGGCGGAGAGGTATCGTTGCTCTTCTACGCTGCCGCCGTAGTACATGAAGAACACTTTTACTGTTCGGTCGGTATGGGATGATCGGTATACTTCTATCCGCCGGATGAACGCTGCGTCGGGCTCGTACATGATGACGTATCGCGGCTTTGTCTCGTCGAGGATGTGTTCGTCTAGGTCTCCAGAGTAGGGGTGTACGATGATGAGAGAGTTCATATCGAAGAGCTCGTAGAAGCTTTCCATGTTGTCGAGAGGGTCGAATCCCACGTCGCCAGGCTTTTGTGCTGATTCGATCTCGGTGGGTTCCAGTTCGGCCATTAGACTTGCAATGTGGGCGTCGCGGTCTCCTGCTGTCCGAACAGCTCCTGTATCAGACCGCGATGGTCCTGCTGCTGCATTTCCGCCTCCTCTGATACGACGCCGCTTGTTAGGCGGAGGTTTACCGGAAGTCTGACGCATCCCGCTCTGAACATTCTTGTCCGTGCTGGTGTTGATGGCTTTCTGATTCTCTGAGAACAACGCAGCGCTGACCTTGCTGAAGTCGCGTTTCCAGGTGAGATAACTCCGTAGCTTGCGTCGCATCATGAAGTTCGCCGATGGCTCGTACTCGTCTTCTTCCTCGTCTGCAACGCCCTCTGGCTTGACGTACATGGTCTGCAGATACTCTCTTAGCTGTGACGCTGTACCTTGGTCGCCGCACATGATGAGTATAGAGCCGTTGGACGAGTCTTGCGGTGTTGGGTTGAAGTAGGCATCTTGCTCTATCTCTTGCAGAATTTCTGCAAGCTGCGTCCACTTGGGAAATTCCTCTAGGACAGGCTGCAGAGACTCTGGCACAGCATTCGAGGCGTTTGCTAATTCCACATTAGATACCTTGCCCGTGTATACTCTTCGCTTGGCAGTGGTAAAGATGGTATCGGCCGCGTCTAGGAACAACCATGGAGACTGATTCTGCTTTGTTGACCCTGGCGGTGGTTGCGAGGCTGCAAGCACAGTATCGAGGTACTTGTTGAAGTTCACCGCATCATAGGTAAGAAGGGCATGCAGAATAGTGCGAAGCAGGGACAGATCTCGGACGACCTGTCGCGTCTTGAACGTTGTGCGATGCCAGACGGGGTCTAGTTGACGTCTGATGATTTGATCAAAATTCTTGTGTAGGGCACTGTCCACATTCCAATCCTCCATCTCCACGCCTGGGTTTGCTTTCTTGAGCTCGCTGATACTGGCCTCTACACATGCTAGTACCGCGTTCTGTATGTCTTGCATAGCTTCCGTCATTGGCACTTCCAGCTCAATGACTTCCGCTTTCTTGCGTCCTTCGAGCGAGTTTGCGACTGCGACATGGAATCTTGGGTATAGCGCCGGCTTCGTAAGGAACAGGTTCTTCATCATATTCGTGAGCGGGGCGAAGCCAGTCGTGAAGGGCTCTGGCGTATCTGAGAACGCCTTCAAGAAGCCTGCCTTGTTCTTCTGCCGGTATATCCTCAAGATGAAGGCCTCTAAAGATGTCGCGACGACCCGTTCAGCATGCAGCACCACCACACCCGTCACCGTCTCTGGGTTGAGTAGCCCAGACAGAAAGTCCACAATGAGGATGCGCGACGTGATGCTGAAGATCCCGCCTTGGGCATACATCTTCTCACGTGTCCCAACGCTCATCAGATCGGTATTGACCAGGCTCAGGCCGCGACACTTGGGCGCGTTGCTGACGGCTGCGTGCTCAGCCAAGGCCTCGCCGATCCAGACATTCTCGCGATCGTCGGCACCGACGAGCAGTATAAGGTTGTTCCCAGCGGCATCGTACGAGTGAAGGAGGTTGGTGACTATGCGCAGAAGGCCGAGGCCACGCGCGAGGAGGACGAGCTCATCTTCCTCGCGCAGTTCGTTGAAGATGTCCTGTTGGAACTCCTATGATGTCATCAGTATCGCATCCATAGACGTTCTAGAGCGGGCTTACGAGAGGCAACGAGAGCTTCACGGGGGCTTGCGCATCGTTGGGCATTGGATCCTGCTTCAACGGTCGTGGTGGGGCGAGATGAAGGTTTGGGGCTGGTTCGCGCGTTTAGGTTCGCGGAACTTCGCGAAACCTAGACGCTGTCACGAGATCGATCCCGGGCGGATGTCACCTGAGCAGAGGCCTCGCCTCATTTCAGGCATTCATGGACTCAACTATATCTGACATTGGACACGAACGGTACGTCATAGGTCTTATAGACTGCCTCGATTTGCAGGAAACCCCCGGCCTTGATTGGAAGCGTAGATTCGTGATACATGTAAATATACAACAGCGAAAAGGAAGTCATCTGGCATGGGTCTGCTACTGCGTGCTAGCCCTGATCTCTGCTTGTCTTCTCCGACCCTCAGCAGCATATGCGTCGCGCTCCTCCCTGCGGATCTGTTGTTCTGTCTCAGACCTCTTCGCATCCATTTCCTTCTGCGCAGCCCAGACTAATTTCGTTAGCGCGGTCTCGAAGATGACTGCAGAAGGAACACTTACTCGGCTTGTCTGAACGCGAAGCCTCCTTCAATTGGCCAACAAAGGCGTCAAAGTCCTTCTGCCTCTGCTCCCTTCCGGCGAGAGCCTTCTTCTGCAGTTCTGGGCTATACCTCTGCATGGATCATGAGCAGCTGTTGGGCGCAGCACGTAGCAAAGTAGACATACCTTGAAGATTTCTTCCTCAGTAGGTGTAACCCACATGACAAGTGCAGGGCCGCCGATGCACAGGATTCCGCCTCTATTTTGTCATCAGTTTATGGCCATGCAGCGACCATGTATCCGACGTACCCTGCGATGGCTTTGATGTAGGCGGCGGTAGATGGCATGGTGTGTCTTTGGTGACGGTCTGAATATCGGGAAGTCTACTTTCTAGATTGCCTGCTTGTGGGCAGCGTATGTTCCAGGGTATCGCGTTGGGGTGGAGACGCGTGCAGCTAAAGTGGTGAAGTCGACGATCCACCCAACTGCCGGACTGATTGTCTAACAAAGCTAGCCTGCTGCGCCACTCTTCATCACGTGTGTCGTGCACCGCCGCCCGACGCCACCGGAGCTGCATCGTCGGGACCCAACTGCTTGCAGGCGGCGAACGCTTACCCGAGCCTAAGGCCCAGCGATCACCGTCGACCCTGCGCTCATTGGTAGGCCGTTCCTCGACTGCATGATGTGTATGATCTCCAGCGGCTCTGCGACTTGGTTCGTATAGGGACTGCTTGACATCAGCTCATTCGGGCTGTTTTGCGCAGGGCTGATACTGATCGTCTCCATATTTCTCCAGTCACTTTAGCTGGCGGTGCTACTCAGGGCAAATTCAAAGGCTTCATTTAATCTACTCGCGTGCGAATCAATCCACCGACAACGATTCGTCTACTCCAAGGTCCCTTGTCCGCGTTTCAAGGCGAAGGACGCCAAAGCGGGACTTTTGCTTATTCATTTCCTGTGTTGCACCAGCGGCGTGTGGGTGACAGACCTGGGTTGAAACGTAATCGAACTAATTGGAGGTCACCCCGTGTTTGAGGAGGCAGCGGCCGCCCCCAATTGGCGTCGATTTCCAGAACATGTACAATTGAGAGTTCGACTATAGACTTTCCTCATTCACAACATCGTCATCCCGCCTTTGAAAGGTCGTCCCTGTGCTGAGTGGGCATATGACACCTCTTTGAGTTTGTGCCACCCCTGCCAGGTACGACATTGCCCGGAACACGGCCAACTGCCAACACCGTCATCGCGATCGCACGTCGACGACCAGCATCCGCTACAAACAGGCCGAACGAGGCCAGGCTCTCGCGATCGCGATTGCGCCCCAGATACCTTAAGAGCTGCAGCCCCGCCGGTCGGACATCACCAACGCTCGCTAGCCTCGTGATAGACAGCCTCGGGTCAGGCTTCTCCGATAACGCCGCAAGCATGGCGCACCAACAACACTACGATCATTACGCGCAGCCGCAACAGCAGCAGCAGCAGCAGTACTACGACCAAGGCAGGCCACAGCAGAGGCAGCAGCAGCAATACCAGAATTACGATATTCAACACGACCAGCAACAATACTACGACTACGATTACGGCTATGACCAGGGCGGCCACGAGCAATGGAACAACGGACACTATGACCAGCAGGGAGGATGGGACAACGTGCAGCAGCACGGCGGCTATCAGGACGTGAATGGGCACTCGAGGGCAGCCCAACCAGATCAGCGCCGCAGACCACCGCCGCAAGACCAGTACTATCAGGAGGAGGCCTACAGCGACCAGCACTACCAGCAGTCGCCCCCACAGAACCCAGGACGGAGACCGCCTCCTCAGGGTCAGCGTCCTCAGCAACAGGCCTACAATGAGCCGCCGCGACAACGACCACCACCACAACAGCAGGATCCCCGAAGCCGACCGACAGGTCAGGGGAATGCGCCACCCATCAACACACAAAATGGACGAGGTGTCCAGAGACCACCAGGTATGTCCCGACATCCCGATTCACTCATAACGACAAGACATAGCATTACCGACCTTCGTCATAATACAGTCCACTAATCACCACTGACAGGCCTCGACCGCTCCCTCTTCAACCCAACATCACCCAAGACTCTTGCCTACGACAACCCGTTTCCGACGTTTCCTTCGCAAAAGCCACCGCAAGCTGGCGGGAAGCCTATCGAAAAGGGCATGGCACAGATGAACATCAAAGATGGCGGAGGGCAACCAAAGCCTACGGGCCCATCTGGGCGAGGACAGCCTATGCCACCACAAAACCGCGGCCCACCACAGCAGAGGTCAATACCCAACCCGCGGCAGGACTCGGGACATTTCGAAGGCCAGGGTCAACGCAATGCCCCTAATCGCATGCCGCCCGGACAGCGACCACCCCCCATGAACGCCGATCCCAGTCGAGGACAGCAACCACATCGCACATCAGACCCGATGTCGCGAGCTTTCGGTCCGAACACACAGCGATCCGTGACAATGCCCCAGACACTACCAAATGGAAATCAGGGTGGATATAACGGTCAGCAAGAGTTCGCTGAGCCTGGTGCTGTTTCCGGCTACTATGGCCCTGCATCGCCAGATCACATTCCTCCCAGGCCTTCAACTGCGGGTGGGACGAGGCAAAACGGGCCACCGATGCAGCAGGGTCATAGGCCTCCTATGCCCCAGGCGCCGCAACAGCAACCACCAATCCAATACCGGCAGCAAGACCAGCGTCAAGCGCCAATTCAGCAGCAACAGGCTCAGGGTGGCGAACCCGCACTGGACGACTTCTACGATGACTACTACGGGCAGGGCGACGCTGCGATGGACATGCCCAACTTCGATGCCATCCCAGAGACCAACAACAAGCATCGCAGAGGTGATTCAATCGACAACCACCTGACTCCATCTAACGATACGCGCTATGCCTCACCGCCTGCTCCTATGAACCCAGGATCCGGCAACCCTCAGGGCCAGATGCAGCGAAGTCGATCACAGCCAGACCTCAACGGGCAGTATGCGAATGGCGTGCATGAAATGGCAGCAGATGCTCCCCCAATGCCAGGTCCGTCAAGGGCAAACACTGGCTTTGCGCCCCACAATGGTCTTCCCAACGGTGTCCGGGGACGAGGGCCGCCTCAGAGGGGAATGACGGGTGATGGCATGCAAGGGGGACCACCCAACCAAGGCCCAATGCGTGGACAGCCGCCTAACTTCGACCCACGATATGGAGCGCCCCCTCCAGGGCCCCAAAGGGTGTACTCGGATGAGACTACATACTCTGAACCGCCACCAAGCATGAACAGGAACTTCGGATCGCCCGCACCCGGACACCCTATCCAACGACCAGGAACAGCTGCACCTGCACCGGGACGAAACCCAAGCGATCCTATGGGTAGAAGACCTGGCACTACCCAGCCACCGTCGAATCCAGACGCGTTGCCAGCTCACCCCATGCCTGTGCGACAAGGCCTTATGCAGCAGCCACCGCGGCAGCAACCACAAGCAAACCAGCCTCAGGCGCCTCAGAACGCAAGACCGCCGCCTGTCAGACAATATAACAGTGAGCCTGGACGCCCCAGTATTGAAAGCCAACAATCTTCGACACAGCGTCATAGTGGAACAGGCGCGGCACCTCATCCGGTAACTTACGACGAGCTAAACAGGTTACGCAACACGTGGAAGCAAAACCCCAATGACATTCCTACGGGTCTGAAACTATCGAAGAAGCTCGTCGAAGCATCGAGCGTACTCGCCGATGAAGGAGGCACAGCCGACTCCAGGACGAAGAACAAGAACCGAGAGAAGTTCATCCTAGAAGCCCACAAAATCATTAAGAAGCTAGTCAGCAATGGCTCACCGGATGCCATGTTCTACCTTGCCGATTGCTACGGATCAGGAGGGCTTGGTTTGCAGGTGGACACCAAAGAGGCATTCACGCTCTATCAATCAGCCGCCAAAGGAGGCCATGCCGCAAGTGCATACCGCACAGCTGTCTGCTGCGAGATGGGTCACGAAGAAGGCGGTGGTACCAAGAAGGATCCCCTCAAAGCCGTCCAGTGGTACCGACGTGCCGCCGCGTTGGGCGACCCCCCTGCTATGTACAAGATGGGCATGATTCTCCTCAAGGGACTCCTGGGCCAACAGAAGAACTTCGGTGAAGCCATCAACATGCTCAAACGAGCCGCTAGTCTAGCCGATCGCGACAACCCGCACGCACTCCACGAATTGGCCCTCATCTACGAAGCGCAAACCGGCAACGAACGCGTCATACGCGACGAAGCCTACGCGCTACAGCTCTTCCACCAAGCCGCTGATCTCGGCTACAAGTTCTCTCAATTCCGTCTTGGTCAAGCTTACGAATACGGGCTCCTGGGCTGTCCAATCGACGCACGTACCAGCATTGCTTGGTATACCAAAGCCGCTGCCCAGGAGGAACACCAGAGTGAACTCGCACTCTCAGGCTGGTACCTAACAGGTACATCGGGCATCCTCGAACAAAGCGACACCGAAGCCTATCTCTGGGCAAGGAAAGCAGCGTGCGCGGAACCGCCACTGCCAAAGGCGCTGTTCGCTATGGGCTACTTCACTGAAGTGGGTATAGGCTGCCCGCGCAGTTTGGATGAGGCGAAACGGTGGTATGGACGGGCTGCAGGTATGTCTTGAAAGTTTCTGATCACAAAGGAGAGTGGAAAGCTAACGTTTTTGACAGCATACAAATTCCCCAAAGCTCAAGAACGTCTTGAGGAACTTAAGCGTGGTGGAAGTAAAGTGCAGATGAAGCGTGAACGTCTTAGTCGGACGAATCAGAAGCAACAGGAGGAGAATTGCACGGTTATGTAGTTGCGGGTTGGGCTGTACTATCATCTGGATGATTTGTTTTCAGGCGCTTTTCGTGTGCGTTTGCTTGGTGTTGCTGGCGTTGAGCATGGAGTTTGTGTTGAAGCATTGACGGCGTCTGCTGTTTTGGTACGCTTTGATACATAACCTGATCGAGCGCGAACCTCGAATACAACGTTCAATCAAACAAGCATACAACAAGCACTAAGTCCCATGAAGACGAATCCCCTCGTCACCAAAACACCATCCCATCACAGCCCTTTCTCCAACTTCTTTATCTCAGCCTCAACCCTCTCCGCCTCTTTAAGCAACCCCTCCTTCCTCTTCGCCAAGTCCCTCATCCCCTTCTCCCCAGCCTTCCCATACAACTCCAACTCCCGTCTCGCCAACGCCTCGCGATCCCAAAGCGCCCTCTTACCCCCACCCAACCCTTTCCTAAACTCCTTCAATGCATCGACAAACTCTGCAGGCGGGGGGTGCAGCAACGAGTGCGTTTTAGCTTGCAGACCGAGTAAGATGGCTTTTGTCTGCAGGAGCTCGGCGGAAGATTTGGTGTGCCGGGCTAGAGCGCCTTGTTGGGTTTGCTCGAGGATTTTGATGCTTGTGCTGAGGAGGGTTGAGTGTGTGGAGAGGAGAGTGGTTAGCGTGGTTGTTAGATGGGTGTGTGCGGCTTGTAATTCGCTAGGTAGTGTATCCAAGGCAGAGGTTTTGAGGGCTAGAGAAGTGCTGTGGAGGGATGAGATAGGTGGGGGAGATATTGGCGACGCGATGCGGCAGAGGTAGTCGGCTATGTTGGTGAATTGGGTTGATAGAGCTGAGGCGATGGGAGCGATGTTTGAGTGGAAGAACTCGATGTCTTCGGACAATACATCGAGGTCGGATGCGGGAACTTGGCCGTTTAGTTGCGCGGTTACGGTTTCTGTAACTGCGTGTAGATCTGGTGGAAGATCGGTGGCTTTTGATGGAAGGGTTGAGAGCGATGTTGTGAGTATCTGCGTTGTGTGGAGAGTTGTAAGGGCGGAGGTCAGGGTCTGGGGTCATGTCAGTATGTATGGTCAATACCAAGCCATAATCTTGTGTACAGGCCAAAGGTCTGTAAGGAGATTTCAAAGATGACCTTGTGGTTGAGCAAAGGCATGATACCAGGACTGTAAACAAACAAAGGATTGGATTGCCGAATCGCGTGTCTAAAGTACGGAATTAGGAGTAGAGTAACGACCTGAATGCCTTCTCAATAGTGAAAATATAGAAATCCTTACCTTCCGTATCTCATCATGCACTCGCTGCTTCTTCGTATCCCTCGATGAGCCATTCGAATTAAGCTTCCTTGTGCAAAGATCCTTGTACAATATCTCAAAGTTGGGATTGCGCTGCAGGACCACGGGATCAATCGGCGGTAGCATGACATTCGTCGAGCTTGTGTGGTGTGGCTTGGAGGAACGGCTAAGAGAAGACGCGACGGGAGTAGGTGCAGTAAAGTAGCGGTAGGAGCGGGGCGCTAGCTCGTTACTACCTAGTGCCTTAGCCCACCTTTCACTCTCGTCGATCCTCAAAAGTCACATCTTTTCCAATTCGAACATTATATCAAGACCTCACTCGTATAATTCAAGAACAAATCCCCACATAATGCCAGAACCCCGCCGCCAATCGTCCACATCTACAGTATCAACATACCACCTCTACAACCGCACGGGCTCCTCCTGTGCACGCCGCGTCCGCATCGCGCTTTCCCTGAAAAAGGTCCCCAATGTCCTCTACCACGACGTGGAGAAATACACACGCACCTCCATTGGCACAAAACAGTACCTGGCCATAAACCCCAGCGGCGCTGTTCCCACTCTAATTCACGAAGTCACCACACCAGGCCACTCTACTAAACAACGCTTTGTGCTCACGCAATCAACTGCTATACTAGAGTATCTGGACGAGATGTTTCCGGGGGCATGTCCTTTGATGCCGCTGGTGGGTAACAGGGAGGAGAGAGCACGGGTGAGGGAGCTGGTTGCGGTGGTGACGCAGGATATGTTTCCTTTTGCGAATCGGGGGAATGGGGTAAGGTTGTGTGAGGTTGCGAAGGCGACGGAGGAGGGGCGCTTGGAATTGATCAGAATGAAATTGGATGAGGGGTTTGATGCCTACGAGGCTATGATGGCGAAGTGTGGGGGTAGGTATAGTGTGGGCGATGAATTGAGTATGGCGGATGTGTGTCTCGTGCCACAGGTGTTGCAGGCGCAGTTGTGGGGGGTGTTTGTGCTCGGATGTGATAAATGGCCGTTGATCAAAGCTGTGGTGGGTAGGTTGGCGAGGGTTAAGGCTTTTGCTGAGGAAATGGGGGATATTGCTGTGGATGAAGAGACTGTCGTGAAACCACTGCCATGATAGCTATGCAGACTGCTAAAGCGTCTCTATCTTCCTCTAATGCATGTCAACGCCGTTAAACGCCAGTTCATACGCTAAACTCTTCTCTTCGAGAACGCCATACATCAATTCCACGCAAACACTGCGTACCATCTTCCAATCAAAATATCTCCTTCTCACAAACAACCTCATACCGTTCATCCACCACCTCTCCCTGTCCTTCCGCACCCCCACTCCAAATCTTCTTCGCGCCCATCTTACAGATATAGACTCTATCCACCCTGACACCCTCCGCCCAGACAAACCCCTTGTACTTCTCAATCAGATTGCGGGCGTCAAAGCGCATCCAGCTCTTGCCATCTGGACCGTGTCCTTCACCGGTCGGACGAGTCGGATCTGCTGGTGAAGTTTCAACAGCATTACCATCTACAGATCCTGCTGTCGACGCGCCATCTTCTTCATTTCCATCCTGGCCATTGGCGTCCGTGTTCCCAGTCTGACCATCCACCCCATTCTCATGACGATGATTCGGCGAAACCCTATGTTCCATGTGCCTCAACCCATCTTTCACCATCCCACTCTTGCTCCTCCCCCTCCCCCCTCCCCCCTTCGGCTTCGCATAAATCGTATTCAGCACCGTAGCATGCAATCTCAACGGCCTGGTATCCTCAACCAACAACCCCATCCCCGTAAACCTCTCTCTTAACGTCTGCGCAAACGGCTGCAGTCGCTGCGACACATCCCTCGGTTCCGCATACAGGATACTCGTTTTATGCGGCGCTTGCATCGGAACCAAGGATTCTAGGTTGATTGTCAGAGCGTCTGTGTCGGGCATGGCTGCGGCATTGAGGTTCTCGGCTATCTCGCCGCTTTCGGCGGCGGCTTCTGCGACGCGGAGGTGGGTTATGTCGCGTAGGAGGGTGTGCAGGTCGAGGTCTGAAAGGTATTCTTGCGCTGAGGATAGTTGCTGCGGAGAGAGACTCATTACGCCCAGGGTGAGGTGCAGGGTGCCGACTGGGCGGACGGCTTTCGTAGGGACGGGTCCATCTTTTGATAGCTCTTCTTTGAAGTTTTCGAGTCTTTGCTGGAGTTGCGGGCGGCTTGAGTCGGTGACTAGGGGGAGACAGAGGAAGTGGGTGAGTTGTGGTTTCTTTGCGCCGCCTTTGCCTGGTTTCTTGCTGTCTTTCTGATCTTTTTGTACTGATGGTGATGGGATGTCTCGGGATGCAAAGTCCTGTAATGTCGTCCTGATCTCGGTGTTGTCGCGCAGCTTCTCGCCGTCTAGGAAGTCGTTGTATTCGCCTTTTGACTTCTTTTTGCCCATGATTGGTGATGTGGTGTGAAATCCGACAGAGGAAATCTGATCTGAATGAACGTATTGGGCTTTCCTAGCTGCTCTGTTCTTTGCTAGGCAACGAGTGGAGTGCGCAATAGCGGTAGTAACAGTAGTGCGTCGGCTGATTGGTCCAGGCGCAGCTCGATGCAAGACCGCCGCAAAGAGCATGAGAAGACAAGGAAGGCGCTCGAAGCGCAGGGAGCAACTAAATGAATGGTACACGGCAAGGAAAGAGCGATTCTAGGCGCGCCGAACCAAACGCCACATGATCCCACGGCAGCACCGGCAAGACTACCACACTACGACGGCGGAACCGAGAAAGGGCCTGACGATGGAACCACTCATGGTGTTGACTTTTCATGGGGCGCGGTCTTGAGCCTATCAAAGCGTGCTTTCCAACCTATCAGACGCAACACCAAGTTCGGCAACGCCATGTGCGAAGAGTGACGTAGGTCCCGAAGGTGGGGTGAGTGACATGCGCCGCCGCTGGGCACACGTTCGGCCCTTCACCCGTAGGGCTGAGGAACGTTCCATGTCACAGAGTGTATAGTTCGGAGAGGGGTTAGCATGGTATTAGTTTCAATGGATGATACTTGTTTAAAGTATTTACAGCTGCAATGCGATCATGTGAAGTGTTACTCTGCGCTGGCGCAACAACACATTCATCATGACGATAGGGAGAGTTAACATTCATTCGTAATCTATGCAAGTGCGATGGAACCAAATAGACAAATTGAGGGCAAGCTATGTAGAGTACTGGAATTTCCTCGCTGACCCGATGACGGCATGTACACAAAAAGCGCTCCTAGGAACGTGAGATGGTGGAATGTCGCGCAGGAGAAAGTTCGTCAAGGATGAGGACGTGTCGCGGTAGAGCGGAGAGCCCGGAGTCGCAATAGTCGCTCCGTGAAGCGTACGGTCCTAGACTTGGCTGCTACCGATACCGACTCCTCCCAGCTGAGCGTGGCGAGTGCGAGACTGGTGTGCTCGCGCCGTAGCTCTGGCTGACGCGGTCTCTATTTCTTTGCCGCAGTAGGAGAGGGCGCGGCTTCCTCTTCCGCCTCCTCCTCGTCGCCCTCGTCCTGGTAGAACTTCTTCAGGATTTCCTTGACGTCGGTGAACTCCGTCTTTGCCTGCTTGATGATCTTGGCCAGGTTCTCCTGCGCCTTCTCCTCTGTTATGTCCTTGGTGCCCGCGTCGTCCTTGAGCTGGCCGTAGTGTTGGATCTTCTCGCACGAGTCTTTGACTTTGGTGAGGCCGAGCGTGGCGGACGAGCCCTTGAGGAAGTGGCCTAGCTCACTAAGCTCCTTGAGGTACTTGCCCTCCTTCTTCTCGCTGGGTGGCGTTAGTCGTCGCGCGCATATCGCAGGGCGCGCATGGGGCACTCACAGCTCCTTGTCCATCTTCTTGAAGGTCTGGTCGGCCTGGCCAAAGAAGTCGTAGACGATGCTTTTGCTGAACTCGCGCTCGACCTCGTCCTCGTCCATCTCGAGAATCTGCTCAAAGGTGGCTGGGTCGATCTGGTCCTCGGCGCCAGGGATCGACATGATGTCGCCGTTCTGCGGGGGGAGTTTTAGGTTAGGAGGTTGAGCTATAGATAGGCGCGTGTTGCGATGGTGTAGCTGAGACAGCAGGCGGATGACACGTGCGGAGAATTGCAGACATGGAGGGGCCAGGCAGGAGCAGGCAGGCAGGACATGGAGGGGCAGCACGAACCTTGTCGTCGGTAACCGACATGCTGAACAGGACGCAACAGCAAATCCGATTTACGGGAAGCGCTCTTCAACCTCGCGGGATGCTGTCGACACCTTCGTGTACTGGCGTCGCAGCGCTTCAATGCTCGTGGCGCGACGGTGACGGATATTTTTTCGCGCCTCAGTAGTGGGCCGTGCGGCTGTCCGATTCACTGGCTGCGGCTCGATGGGGCTTAGTGGATGACGAAAGGGTCGGCCCGTTGTTGCTGTGAGCGCCGTTGTTAGAGCTGCTGTCTTCTGCAGAGGGCAATGTCTCGGGACGCAGGGTAGAGTGGGAGATGTGAGTGTGACTGCTACGCTGCCCACCGAACTACTACGTACAGAAGCCCTCTTAGTCTAGTCAACCCCTCTGCTCGTTTAGTCGCTATAGTCTCGACGGAAGCGGCTGCCGAGGGAAGCGACAAAGCTATCCTGTTCGCGGTAGATTGGGACGACACGTCGAGTCGGTGAGATAAGAAGAAAGCAATTTGTGGCACTGGTGGTCACGGGCACGCTGCTCATATACAGCCGCGAGGGTTCTAGAAGTGAGATTGGCGATGTTTGCATCACCACAAAAGAGGGGGGCCACGGAATCATAGGCACAGAAATAAGGCCTCGCTATATGTGGGTGGATACCTCGACGTCAATCGGCAGCCTTCACTCGCCGTGGATCGCCTGTCACAGAGCCAACTCTGCCCTCTTCCAGCGGCTGACTGGCGACCATGCCCCCCATCGCCCTCATCGGCTGCCCGGCCAAAAGTAAGGTAACGCGCCCGGGTCGTGTGTGGAGTCTGCCCTCTGACCTGGCAGCTTGCCCGCACCGTGGTATCTTCTGCGGCTGATGGGGCTAGTTGCGACCCTCGCTCGCACCGCTTTGTCCCGTCGGCAGAGCAGACCATGGAGTGCGCAAAGACTGGAAAATGAGTGCGGTTGACAGGGCGCCAAGAAGGCCTGGAAGCGTTCGAAAAACTGCCAT